TTTTTTCTTTCTTTTCCCTCATTTGATTACTTTTTCTGCCATCTCTCTATTAAACCATCCCACTCGCTCTCTCTCTCTGCCCTGAAATGTATTGCGTTAACACATGTTTCTGTTGTTTTGTCCACTCTTTCTATCATTGAGGATATGCTAAATGACAGAAACACAACTCTATTACATTATAACCTTTATGATGGCGGGATTGTTTTCTTCTGGACTGTTGTTTTAGACTACATTAATTTTAGCCAGGTGTAAAAACTGGCCACTGAGTGTATAAAACAACATGATCGTACAGTACAGTACAAAAATTTTATGTAATGACAATGGTGAACCACACAAGAAAAATGATACAATCAAAATCAAAAGAGGAGGCAGATTTTGAAAGAGTTCAGTACAGTTGCATGTGTTGTTGCTTTGTTTTTTCCCTCAGGCTGTGAACTGCTCTGACGTGCTTCACTTCACTTCTTTTTCCATGACTGTTCCGTCTCTTCCTCCCTACCCACCCCCTGCTCTCCATCCTCTTGCACCATGTTTGTCTTTATTTTCCCTTTCTTATTCCTTTCCCCTTCAGCCTCTGGATCCTCCCGTCTCCCTCTGTCTCTTGTTGGCTCTGTGCTCCCTCCCTCACTGCGTCCATCCCTCTCTCCTTACGGTGGATTAGGGCGGTTTTACAGCCTAGTCGATGCTAATCAGGTTTATCCAGACAGAGGGTGATCATTGGGCTATCAGTAATTACACACGCTGATATTAGCTTACTCAGTTATGTGCCCTGGCACATTTTCAATCCACGTCATCTCTTTGGATCTAACATATGGTTATCTCAACAGTGTGATGCCACACACATGCCAGCTTAACATGTCTGTGCTTTTGTTTTGCAACACAAAGATCCATCTGTTGGGAAAGTAAATGTACATTTGTTACAAGCTAAAGTCTCAGAATATGAGATAATAGTTGCAAATGGGATTATAGAAACTGTACATTTTCTACTGATGTGTAATCACAGTTAGATTTGAGATTGGAAATAATGAATTTAGCTCTGACGTTCTGCATCAGAAATTCACAGCAAACCAACAATTTATGCAACTAACATATCATTTCCATTTGTGATAATGTTTAAACACTGACACTGACAGCAAAGGATTGACATTTTGCTTTTTGGCAGAAAGTTATTTCAGAAGGCTGTGTCATATACAGTAAATATAAAACTACAACCAGCAGTCAGTTAGCTTAGTTTAGCACAAAGACTTATAACAGGGGGAAACAGCTAGCCTATCTCTGTCCAAAGGTAACAAAATGGAGATCTAAAGCTCACTAATAAACACGTTACACTTGTTAGTTTAATCTCAAAAAAATCTGACCATTTTTTCGGGAGTTCACCTGAGCAGTTACTAGGCAAGCAGAAGAGACTCTACAAACTTTATGTGCCTGGGCAAACCAATAATCAAAATTTATTTTTTGTTCTTTCAGAGAAAATGAGATGCTTTTTGGTTTTTGAACATTACAAAAATAGACAGATATGTCAGTGGTATCAATCAAGAAAGCGTAATCCATATATTTCACAAAATGTTAATCTATTCCTTTAAGGTTTCAAAAAAGGAAATTGATGTTAACTGGAATACATCACTGGATTCAATCAAAGCAAATTACATGAAAGTGAATCTAATGCTTTACCTGGTTTCTCTGAGAAAATGTTCTATATTTCCTTTATTTTTTGACCTACATCTTACTCTGATCTGTTCAATGGGTCATAATTGATATGTGAAACACTACAATTGAACCATGGATGGACACTTAACAACCACACAGAGTGGGTCAAAAAAAAGAAGAAGAAAACAACATCCAGTGCACTGACAGTATTACAGTAAAAGAGAGGAAAGACAAATGGGCACAGATATCAGGTTTATAATGTCCAGTCAGCAGACAGAGAACAGTGTTGGACTGCATCAGAAAAAAAAGGTTATGCTAAGCTTCTGGCCAATCATTGAAAGGAGAAACAATGAGGTATTTTGAGTTGAAATGTGTGTGTCCAAGTGGGTGTGTGTGTCCTATCAGTCTTGTGTGGTTTTGTGCAACCAGTCAAAGAAGGTGTTCATACGTGCATGCCTGTGGGTGTGAAGATAGCTCCATTTGTAGGTGATTGAGTTAGGATGTGTGTGTGTGTGTGTGTGTGTGTGTGTGTGTGTGGTGTGTATGCGTCACTAAAAAAGGAGAAAGGAGAGCGGGGAAGGTGAAAGAGAACGAGGGGGGGGGGGGGGGTGGCGTAGGGAGAGAGAGAGGAATGTTTTTCATTACGTAATCTAATCTAAGTGGCTATTTTTCTTGTAGAAAACCTCTGTTGCCCTCAGTGAGACCACTGTCCTCATCTGTCTAAAAGCACTAAGTGAGTCATGCTGTGGGTCTACGCACGCACACACACACACACCAAGTCATAGTGAGTCAGCCAAGATCTGTTATAGACGTTCACCTCAATGATGAATAATGTAATAGGGAAAGGCATATAAACTGCTCAAATGACACGTGAACTCAGTGGACAGTAGACTGATGGACGCGCACTCAACACAAGCACACAAACACACATATAGTGACATCTTCGTAGAGCATATGGGCAGCTGGACTAATGGGCTGGGGAACAGGTGGATAGTACTTTGACACCTTGAGATGAAGGTTTCCTTTGTGTGAAAGCAGAATATTTAACAGAACGTCTCTCGGCTGGATGGAGAAAAGTTTAATTAAAGCAAAAGTTTGACATTTTGGTAAATGGGCTGAGTCACTTTCAGGCGGAGAGTTAGATGAGAAGATTGGTACCATTCTCATCTTTGTCTTTTAAATAAGGCTTCACCCTGCAGCTATAGCCTAGCATAAAGACTGGAAATGGGGAAACCACTAGCCTGGCTCTGTCTGAAGGTAATCAACCTACCAGCACCCCTAAACCAATTAACATGTTATCTTGTTTCTTCATTACACAAACAGAAGCGTAAAAATTGCAAATTGTTCTTTCTAAAAGAGATACATGTTGATTAGGAAGCTTTAGAGGTGCTGGTGTATTTAGTTCTCTTTAGATAGATCTAGGCTAGCTGTTTCCCAGTTTCCAGCTGTAAGCTATTTAACAAACAGTCAAGCTGGTATCAATCTTCTCATCTAGCCCTCTGCCAGAAGGTGAATACCCCTGTTTCCCTAAATGCTGAACTATTCATTTAATGTTCATTTGAACAGTATGATAAATATTTGGGTTAAGCTTTGAGGCTGCATGAGCCTCCTGAGCCTTAACATCAGATGTGCAACCAGCAAACCTTTTGTGGTGCAGCAATGTAATACTCCTTTGAGGCATCACTGCTCTCAAGCACATGGTTGTATATTATTTTTTCAACTAATAAAAGAAATCATTACCAATCATATTTTTCTTGAAAATTATAGCCTGTACTGGAAAAACAAACAGACTTGAAGTTAAAAAAAATCAATAAAAGCAATGCTTCTGCTCTAGTTTGATCAGCATCATCCTGCCATCATGTGCTGATAAAGACATAAATTCCATGCAGTGAGCTTGGAAATTAATCATGTGTGTAAGAAAAAAACACAACGATGCCAGTGTCCTCTTGCATATTCCTCTAGAGCAACAGAAAACACAAACAGGCAGATCAAAAGATAGCAGTAAAAACACCACAAACCCACAGGAAACCAAACAAATGCGAACATCTATATACACACTTAAACACGCAGTGCCGGCCCAGAACATAAAACAAATTAAGTGGCTTCCTGTGGCCTCTGGGTCACTGAGGGGGCCCTGAAATTGAAAAACAAGTGTTTATGTATTTAAATGTTGTTGCAGTCATTTGGTCTATGAGGGTGCTTTTTGGGTTTATGGCAATGACAATCCCCCCAGATTGTTGATCTCTTGTAACCACTTAATTTATATCACATTGTTTAGATATAGGTAGACCTCCTTACTAAAACTGAATTACAAACCCGGCATAGCCTCAAGACCCGCAGACCCTCTCCCAAAAGCCCCAATTTGTTTTTGTGGCTTACAATTTCTTACAAATTTGACTTGTAATATGTACCATTAATGCAAAAAAAAAAAAAGTGAGCAATTAAATATTAGGACATTTTTGCCCTGGGAGCCCCCTTGCAGGTTAATCCAGCTTTGCTTCTTGCCTGATGCAGGTCAACAAAACTGTGAGTGCATGTGACCAAATAAAGAGAAAACCACATATTTTTTCAGTGAACAAATTAAGTGATTTCTATATTTTGGGGGGGGGGGGGGGGGGGGGTTACTACAAATAATCAAGATGTGAAAGGTGGGTTTGGGGGGCTGTGAAAAGAACAGCTTTCACAAAGAGAAGCAGAAAGTGAAAGGGAATATTATAAAGATGAGTTGAAATGATCACTTCCAATAGGAACAACACTGTTCACAACATATAGGCTACAGAACAGGCTGAAGTCTTTGCTGATACCAGATATTTAATCTAATAATTGTTGCTGTGTAGGAAGTGTGGGAGGTTGAAAATGTATGGTCTGGTTTTTCGACTCCAAGTAGAATGTAAAGTTGATTAAATCTGGGGAGAGACCACTAAGATAATGTTGATTAGAGCTGAAACGTTAAGGCTGTGAAGCGCATCACGGACTGAAAGGGCTTCTGCAGGGAAACTCCTGCCAAGTGAGAGATGTCATCATCACAGCAGACCACGAAGTGTACGAAGAGGCTGTCACAATAATACTACTGCAGTGATGTTTGTAATAAACATTTTTATCATCTTCTTATTGAGAGAGACAGAACAGTCATTGCTTTGTAGCCTATTTGTATATCAGCCAGTCACTTTATTGGAGACTTGCTTTACATTATGTTTCTCGCAATGACTGTGTAAGAAATGGTGACGTTGGCTTGGAAAGATCCGTGTTTTTATTCCGGTAATAACCGACGCATCACTTTGCCCAGCCTCCAGCCAATGCGGGACAGCAAGGAGTGGCAGGAATCCAGAGCAGGGAGGAGAGGCGCTGCACTGTGTCTTTAAACCCCAGTCAAGTGCGTTAGGGCAGGTCGCAGCCTACCGGATCATTTGTCCGCTCGCGGTGGAGGGACCTGTTTTGATAGGAGCTGGTGTTTTCTTTAAGCTCAGGATGGTTATTCCTGCACTTGAAACGCATGGAGTAGAGTGAACAGCTCGAAAACCGCCTGATCATGAGATTCCACTGGGTTGTTTTTGCCTCACATTTTATTTCGCTGCCACTAACAGGTGAGAAAACTACTTAAAAATTAGAGAAATCATTAAAATGTTGCTTTAATTATTGCTTTGGCGCTTCAGTGTCTCAACAATGACGGTGACCTTAATTTATCTCTTTAACTTAACTCGCACTATTCATTACTATATTTTAATGCTATAGGCCTATTCCTGGGGACGTGAGCAGGCGATGCCTTTAATAAAGTGTACATATAGCCCTATGCGTGTAGAACCGGTGATATTAGCCAACAACAAAAATCTTGACCGTCCCACTATTTATGATGTTTCGCCCTAAACTGCCGTGTATCGTATCATTGCTTATGTTTTGTGCAACTTACATGTTTCTGTCACTGAACGGCGTATAATACATGGTCCCCACCTTGTTTCTGGAAACGTGGTTTACGTTTACATAAAGTGGTGTTTAAGGGTTCAGTCTGATCAACCTGTCATTTCTGCAGATCACATCATTTACATGCTGTGTGTCAACCATATTACGTACAGGAGATACCTCTCCCGACAGGCAACAGGTTCGTGTGTGTGTGTGTGTGTGTGTGTGTGTGTGTGTGTGTGTGTGTGTGTGTGTGTGCGTGTGTGACATGTTCTTATATCCAGGTGGGGACTGAAACCAGTACACCAAACTCGTGTCACCACGAGTAGAGACTGCTTTTTGAGGGTTAAGACATGGTTTTGAGGGTTAAGACATGGTTTTGAGGGTTAAGGTTAGGGGTAAACGACTGGAGAATGCATTGTGTGTGTGTGTGTGTGTGTGTGTGCGCCCCTCGCATGTGTGTCTGTTTCGACCACTGTTTGAGGACAATTAATAATTTATCCCACCGAAATAAAAGGGATTAGGTTGTGCACCTTAGCATTGCAGTAAAAGGAACAACACATCTTTTAACACAAGCACACCCAGCAGCACTTTGAGATCTAGCTGTGATGATAACTTTGTGTTTAGTCATACAACAGCCTCAGGTTTAGTGCAACACCTTTTGCTTGCTCAAATAACAGGGCAGCAACTGCAAAGCACCAAATTCTTATGCACAAGAGATAGCAGCTATAAAACATGCACCTACACCCAGCAAAAACACAGATATTGATGTTTTAGAAGGGGAGCCTATTTGCATGCCTCTCCTTCTTCCTTTCCCAGCCAGGCCTGAAGGCACAACAGTCACATGAAAATCTTGTTCTTGAAATCATGTGGGAATCTGCGCAGAAAAAAAAGAAAGAAGTAGGGGTTGTAGTTTAGTTTACTCATCTTAAGGGTATGGATTTAAGGCCCTTAATGCATGATTACTCAGCGGCTAAACAGCTCATAATTATTGATTGATCAATTGAGCCTTGGTGGTTTGATAGCACTCTATCTTAAGGGGCTCTGTACCAATCGTAACATCCTATTTAACCATTACATTAAGGCTCTATTATATTGTATTCTATACAGCTAAAATGATTAGTCAATAAATCGATTTGTTGATGAAAAATAATAAGTCAGTTAAGTCATTTTTCAAGCAAAAATACCCGATTTTGTTACAGCTTTTCTTTGTCTTATGTGCTAATACCTTTAGAGTGTTGGTCGGCCAATAGAAAAAGGAATTTCATTATTGACCAAACAATTAATGGATTAATCAACAAAATTATCTGAATACTAATCAGTGATGAAAATAACCTTCAGTTGCGGCACTACCACTGTGCTTTTTGCTCAGCGTCAACAGTAGTGTTACTGAAAGCAGCCGGTTTCCTTCTGGGCTGGATCTTGGCCCAAACTGAACCTGTCACAGCCTTCAAAAATAGCATCCAGGTCCACCATAAGTCAACCATGTTGTATGTCTTCTGTTCCAGTGTGGTGTGAGCCAGTCATCTCCCCCAGCGGGCCTCACATAGTAGTTCCCCAGAGGGGGAAGCTGGAGCTGCGTTGCCATGACAATGCCACGACGTCTGGCACCCCGCCCAGGTTGAGGTGGCAGACGGAGAGGCCTCGCAGGCTGGAGGGAGAGGTGGAGGAGGGCGGAGCGGCTTATGTCAAGGTGTCAGCAGTGCAGCCCTACCACATGGGGCGTTATGTGTGTGTCAACAACAGCACACTGGAACACAGCTCCATCTATGTATATGTGAAAGGTGGGTGTTTAAGGTGGTGGTGGTGGTGGGGCATGTGATTGCAGATTGTCCATCTAATAACATCCACATCACCCTCTCTCTTCCCACAGACCCGCAGAATGCCTTCCAGCGCACCATGGTGAACGTCATCCTGGTGCGTGCAAGTGAGAACTGCACCATCCCCTGTCTTGTGACCGACCCCGGGGTCACCCTCCTGGCTTTGGAGACCTGCAATGGACAACCTTTGCCCTCTGGTATGAGTTACCACAGCAACCTTCAGCGAGGCATCGACATCATCAACGTGAAAAAGGAATATGAGGGCTGTTACGTATGTGTGGGACGGCTTGGTGAAGTCAAAGTGGTGTCGAGCCAGTACACTGTGGATGTACGACTTGGTGAGTGAGAGAGATGATGGACAAAGGCAATTAATATTCTTGTTTCTGAAAGATTTCAATTCATGTTGATAAAAGGGTTTCATACCAGTGTTTAATTGCTCTGCATGTGTCATAGCTTTACTAGATTTGTTATTGTGATAATTAAGCTAAAAGGGTGAAAAGAGGGATAGAGTGGAAGGCAGTCTGGGAGAGGCTGCTGTGATCTTTACAGAAAGTAATTGAAGTAAGAAAAGGGCAGATGTACAAAGTCAGAGAAAAAGTCACTAGCTAGTAAAAGGCATAGTTAAGCTATCCATCTTGTAGCCTATATTTCCAGCCTAAAAAACTAGTCAGTGGAAGGTAAAGCCAAAGCATTTGCGTTTGCTAATGCCTTGGGGAGCCACAATGACAAAGGAAACAGTGAAGGAAGCACATAGCAAGTTGCCAATACCCATAACATCAGGGCTGCTTGTTTCAAGCAATAAAGCTAGGTCAGGGCAATGCGAGGAAAAAGTAGCCTATCCAGAAGATACATCATCATATGAAAATCATACATGAAGTTGGCTTCTTGATCCCACAGTATAATAATAAGAAGTCTAAATCTGGCATTCTCAAATATTTGTCTAAAAGACTAGTTGCTTTGTAGTAATAACTTGTGATTGCCAGATAAATGATATGCAGACATACGTAAACAAGAACAAGAGTCTACAGTCATGCTAGCGACAATGTGAGGCTGTGTGGTGGTGCTTTAAGCTAAATACTACTGTTGGCATGCTAACTTGCTGAGGGTAGTTTGCTAAACACAAAGTAGAGCTGAGTTTGATGGCAGTGTTGTTAGATTTGCAGGGGTTTGATCACAAACAAAGCATTGGACAACTTGAAATTGATTCATACACTGGGGAGCATCAATATCTCTACAAAACTTCATGACAATCATTGTAATAGTTGTTGAGGTACTTCAGTCTCGACTAAAGTGGCGGGCTAGCATGAAAAAAACACTTCCTACATTGCAGATGTGTTTTGGCAAAAGAAATGTGACTTACTTTTTCTTATGAGCTATACTGAAATAACACTGTAAGCATTTTAAGTGTACATCAGTGTCTCCGCACTGCATCAGCATTTTCAGTCTGGTCTGCAATGGAAAGAAGTCTAAACAGAGACAAGCTGGGAGGAGCTGGGGCGTTGTGTCCTTTTGACTGATGGTGAGAGGGAGTGAGAAAAGAGACTGGGGGGGGGGGGGGAGTAAAAGGATTAGAGCCCCATACTCAATAAAGCTTTACGCTGTAACGGTGCATGAAGGCCGTGTTTGGGGTAAATAGATTTACCGCAGTCTTTGTCAAACACAGCCAATGAAGTGACGTCAGCAGGCAAGTGTGTGTATGCAAATACTGTACTGTGCTGTACGTGCAACTGAACAAACAGGAGTCACACACCCTTACTGTTACTGTTTTATGACAGAATACACATAAGGTATTGGTCGTGTTTACATTTTAGTATCAAAACAGTCATATTTAGTTTTCGAGGAGCACTGTTGTTAACATGCATATAGATTGATGATGATTTAGACATTTTGCACACACTCAAATCCAGAGTGATTTAGAAGGTTGTATATCATGCAATAGAATCATTTCAGACTCATAAATAACATGCAACCAGTAGTGGGCTGGCCAGGACCTCCATCCATCCATCCATCCATCCATCCATCGTCAACCGCTTATCCTGTGTACAGGGTCGCGGGGCTGGCCAGGACCTAAGTGATCCAAATGTCCTTGTGACTCTTATTTAACAGCAAATGCAATGGGAGTGAAGAGCAAGGTTTGTTGTGCCTGTGTAGACAAGCTGATCAGTTATATCAGTTGTGATAATGTTGCTTTTGTATCTCTTGATCCAGTGCCAGATGTGCCTCCAGTGGTCACGCTTTCCCAGAAAAACACAGTCATTCTGAGGAAAGGAGAGCAGTTTGAGATTACCTGCAGCTCCACCAATGTCAACCCGGACTTCAGTCTCAAGTGGGATTTCCCTTCAACAGCGGTGAGATTGATGTAGGGATTGACTGGCAGGACAGGCTGCTTCTGTCTCTATGTCTGGGTGACTGACTGTCAAGTGTGGCTTTTTTTTTAAATGGGAATTTACCCATACCAATGCAAGAATAATGACAAATATTTAGACTGAAGTTAGATTGTGAAGTTTGGTCATATCCTGAGTGTCCTTAGGGAGTTTAATCAAATGAAGAGGAGTTTTCATTTGTTAAGACAGCTGTTTAAGAACTTGAAAAACTGAACTATGAACGTGATATCTTGAAAACAACGTTACACCTGTTGATATTGCACTACTCACCTTGTCCCTGATGCACTGCAGGATCCTGGTAAATCACACACCTCACACATCCTGTCCGGTTCCCGTGGTTATCAACGGGCCACAACACTCTTGATCAAAGCTGTTAACCAGTCAGACTCGGGAACCTACCGCTGCCATGTCCACAACGAGAGAGGCACCAGTTCCACAGCGCTGCAGCTGGATGTCCATGGTGAGTGTTGATGATGGGGTTATAAGTTTTCATGCATGAATGGGTACACATGGGCAGTCAGTGTAGCAGATTGTACAGATACACCCAACGGCACAAGTGTTCACTCCTAAAACGATTATGCAAATTAGTGTGTGGAGGCCTCGAGGAAACAGCTATTATTATTCAAATTTATTATATACTGGTAAGAAAGTCTGAAATCAAAGCTAGTCTAGACACAAGATGGCCTCAAAAAGGTGCAGCAAAAGAGAAGAATGTTCCAAAAGTCACAAAGATTTGCCAGTCAAACATTTGGAGTGAATACAAACTGTTTCGTCACTAGGAGAGATCACTCACCAGTTTTGAATAGTGCTGTTTAGAGTTTGTTTATCAAGATCCCCATTAGCTTCTGCATTGCAGCAATTCATCCTGGGGTCCACACAGTTTACATGGTGACAAAAAGTACGCATTCACATTATTCGTCACAATACATTAAACATAACACACCATAATGCATGCCTACTGTAAATAAAACAGTAACAATTGACACAATTTAAATAACACAAAGAATACTGGCGGGCTCCGACTGAATCTATCATGAACTAACAAATAAATATAACCATTTAACATAGAATGCACATGCCACCGCTTAGGTGCCCTTAAGCAACACCCTTAACATGATTAACTAGAGCCGCCCAGTGGACAACCAGATCAGACTGTGGTTGAACTGGGCAGCATCCAGGTGTGAATATGTCTATTGTGTGAGTGTGAACAGGGCGTACAAACTGGCTCTCAGTGAAACTACCCTGAATAAATAATGGTATTATATATCTCGGGTACACTTTTTGATCATTTTCTGGCTTCTTCCCAAAACTTTTACAGAACTATTTTGTTGCTCTTACCTGTTTAAATACCTGCTAATGGGTGGGATAAGGCTCAGGCACATTTTCATAAGGCAAAATTTATAAAATAACTAACTTAAATATTTAGACAAGGCACTTAAACATCAGTAAATACATTACATACATACAAATTTGTTTATGTTAATGCAGACATTGAATATTTATGAATAGACTAATGACACATTTACACCCATATGCAGTATAGCCCTTGCTTATATGGGACACTCATGCTTAGATGGACTATAGTGTAAAGTATAAAGGGGGACTTTTCCTTTAACTATGTATATTTCTGTTGTCTTTCAGAACAGGGGTTCATAACCATGTTAGGGAGCCTGGGTCCAGTCCATGCTGATGTTAAAGAGGGGGAGAGCCTGAGCCTCAGAGTAGAATTTGATGCCTATCCTGCACCCAGCCCCCTGTCCTGGTCTTACAACGGCAAACAGCTCCTCAACACCACAGAGCACGTTATCACTATCCACCGCCACAAATACAGGTAGAGTGAGTAGTATATCAACTGCATGGGCACATGTATATGCATGCACAGACTTTGTAATGTACTGTATGTTTGTTTAATCAGATACATCAGTGAGCTCAGACTAGTGAGGGTTCTCAGCTCGGAGGGCGGGGTCTATAAGTTCTCAGCCAGTCACGAGGACGCATCTGTCGATCATTCATTCCACGTGTATGTCAGCAGTAAGTAGCTCTCACAGTTCTGCTCTTGAGTTCCCCAGGTGATTGTTAACATTGAAATAAACACATAAGCACTTTATGATCTGCATGTTTTAATATTTTAAATATGTGTCTCTCTTTTGTATCAATCTGTCCACCTTTTTCTGTCCAAGGTAAGCCAGTTATCCTTGCCCAGGAGGGGCCCGTTGATGGACAGGTGCGGTGCATTGCTGCTGGTTACCCGGTCCCTAAAATCAGCTGGTACTTCTGTGAGCTCCCCCACACGAGGTATGCCTCAAATATACTGCACTTGATTCTTTATTTGCTTAATGAGATTGCATACATCAGAATAAGACTGGAAAGGTGATGATACGCAGCTACTGTATTGTCACAAGATGGATGTGAACCTTTGATATCTTTCAACATTTTATCTCGCTGTTCCACCAGCAAATTGATGAGTACAGAAGCTGAGAATGGCTGTGATTGCAATAAATTTATCAGGATCACAAGTTAATTATCTTGCAATAGCAGGATAATTGTCTCATTATCCTGGGATCGTTTTCTTGAGATAACGGCATTCCCTGTTACAACCTTTTCAAGAAAAGGTATAAACGACATAATTAACTTGTGATCGCGAGATAACAGATAAAATAAGGTTATTGCAACCGCAGCAATGCTTGGCTGTCATTTAAATTAGCTATCACATTGTCTGATCAATTCAATAAAGATAGATTAATCGGACAGTATTTATGGAGGTCAGTGATAGAGAAAAACTTTGACCCCCAAGAAGCATCTCCCTTGAGCTTCTGGCTCATGAAGATAAGCATAACAGGACAGGTTTCCCCGGAGTCCAGAGACAGAATGACAAGATTGCAATCATATTTTAAGAACAGCATCCAAGGACTCAATGTGAGCAATGTGGATAGAAAGATCATGGTGACACCAGAATTTGTGAAAGAAAAGAACTGAGAAGATAAGACTGGGAAGAAATAGGTGAAGTTTACCAATCGAGAAAAAAAAATCTTTGTTATTGAACCTTTGCCAGCATTTTTTAATATTATCAGTTGCAACAAAAGTCAAGAAATAAAAATATATTGTAGTGGAGCCGCTGTTGCTGAAGTATAAATGCAAAAACTTGCTCTGATGTATAACTGAGAGAGGAAAATGTGACCTTACGCAACTTTCTAATCTCTCGACAGGTGCTCACATCTGCCCAATGCCACCCAATGGGAGACTCCGGAGGTTGCCATGTTGACAGAGTCTACCTTTGGTAAGAGTGAGGTGGAGAGTCGTCTGAATGTGAGCAAGGAGCATGCACACTATCACACCCTGGAGTGTGTGGCGAGTACGGAGGGAGAAGAGGCCTACACACTGTTCTCCATCAGTGGTACGACACACACACGCGTATTAGTACACACACTCAGACACACAAATCGACTGTGTGTCTGCCGAGGCCAGGTGTGTGGTTACTGGGTGCAGATTGAAAAAGATTAGTGCATGCTGACTATGCAGGCTGGGATTATATATGGTATAGGCTCACTAATCCGTGTCACACAAACAAACACCACTGCTGCAGCTGTCAGTCTTAACGCTGCAGGAAGAGGGCGTGACTGTGTGTAACTGCCGGTGAAATGTTGTGTATACGTCAATGCTCCATGTAATTTCTGATGGTGTGTGTTTCCTCTCAGAACGCCTCGTCCCCCATAAACTCTTCACTCCCCTTCTAAGCGGCATGGTGGCCACTGGCATCATACTCAGCCTCATTCTAGTGGTGCTGCTCTATAAATACATGCAGGTAAGATGGGAAATAAATCACACAGTGCAATATCATTAATGCAATGAAGAAATATTATTTCATCTGAGTGAAAGGGGGATCATATATCTTCATCTTCTTCTTCTAAATCTCTCATAAATCGCATAAATCAATGGCCGTCAAACCCATTAATTAGTTTCAGAATGCATTTAAAAATTTGTAGACGTCAATGTTGAATGAAGTTCATCTACCACCACTGATACGCAGTTTGCAGAAAAATAAATTGCTGCAATAGTTTCTGGCAGTGGGCCCATTCTCATTTACTAATGACTCATGTCTCCATCTTGATTCTGGTTAAAGTTAGAAGCTTCTTTCTGAGATCAGACTTGTTTTTGGTTTTTTGATGCATTTGGTAACGATATTCAATAGATAAGAGTGAAAGTATGTCCTTTTAATCAATATGAATGTGTCCTAATGAATTTGAAAAGGATCAATCAGCTATTCAGAGTGCAGACATGCCGTAGTTAAAGGCTTTTTTGACACTCTGATCACGCCTCGAGCCATTAATGTACCCCCACAGCATGATGCTCTCATTGCCCTCGGATGAGTCAGACTCCTTGAGAACTAGTTTATGAATTCGCAGAGGGATCATCAGGGGAAAGTCTAGACACAGACTGACTACTAAAGTGCACGGAGTAATCAAAAATTGAATAGAAGATTGATGAGAAAACATTTAGTCACACATAAACAATATCAGGAAGCTGATCTAACATCACTTTCTCTGTATAAATCCCTCTTTTCTCTCCAAACTTTAACAGAAACCAAAGTTCCAAATCCAGTGGAAGGTCATTGAGAGTATCCACGGCAACAACTACATATATATTGACCCCACCCAGCTTCCATATGACTCCAAATGGGAGTTTCCTCGACAGAAACTACGCTTCGGTATGACAACATGCATTTTTGTATAGCTATATGCAGCATGTCTAAGAAAGCACATCTGCAGACATGTTAGACAGATTGGTTATTATTGTGTTTATTTTAAAGTCTCCCTAAACTAGAAAATGTGTTTTTCTTATTGTTATGTCGAGCTTGACTGTGCAGAATGATGCACAAGTAGCGTTTGACACTAGTTTTCACGTTCACCTGTGAAAGAGGATAAGTTCCTCTGTGATAGTTTATAAAACGTTTTGTGGAAAAAAACATGAGAGAGATAATATTCAAAGCAGAGTATTTTTTAATGGCTTACAACATGTCTGGTGGTGATCTTAGATTAATCATAAAATCCTAAAGGTTTGTTTGTGTGTATGTGTGTTTGTTCCCACAGGTAAAACCCTGGGCTCTGGGGCTTTTGGGAAGGTAGTGAGGGCCACAGCATACGGACTCTGCTCTGCCGATACTGTTACAATTGTCGCTGTTAAGATGCTCAAACGTAAGTGTGTGTTGTTCTGCTTTTATGTCAGTGGCTGTGTCCAAAACCACTCCTTGTTCTCTCATTCCTTACTACAGGAACTAAATGTAGTCGCTGGTTCCTCCAGTCCAAACACAGATTAAGTTTCTGACTTCCATAAAAGGTTCCTGGTCACACACAAGTCATCATCTTTTCGTGTCATAGCAAGGGTATCATTTTCACTGGGGATGGTGGTGGGTCGCACTAAAAGACCACTGAACCACAAAGTCCTCTCACTGTCTAACCTGTAGTACAGATGAGAGAAGCTCTGTTGATCTAAATGTTAAAATGCTCCCCTGAGTCGCCTTTACTTATTACCATGTACTCATGTACATGTAAAGGTACCCATATATTTAAGCTTTACAAGCAGTAGCAAGAAAGATTTGTTTAACCCTGGATACTCCCTCTCAGGCAACATAACCTGCCCTACCTTCTGAGGGCTGTATGCAGCTTATAAGGACTGCAGGCACTACTCAGGGCTGAAAAACAACCCCTGCCCCCAACTCTTCTGCATTTTTGGTTAAAAAAAATAATTCCCCTAAAAAGACTCTAGAACTGATCATTATAAATAGATAATACGGAAAAAGAAAGTGCTTTTTGAATTAGAGATAGAAATAAATCATTATTTAGTTCATTGCTGCCATTGGGAATGCTGGAATTGTGGTTTAACATTGTCTAGCAATATTTATCCAAAGGGTAAAAAGGAAATTATAGGTATTTATTGTATTAGTGCATTATATTGCAGAAATGTATGTGCTTTTTCTTGGTAGGCTGACATAACAATCGATTTGTTAATAATTTTATATTTGCTGGATGATATACATTTATATGAAATGAAGAAAATAAAATTTATTTATTACTTGCATACATTTCATACTCACACAAAATGGTGGACAGCAAACTCAGTGCACTATACAGTACATAGGGGGTGATTTTGGACACAGGCTGCTTGTGCATGATGTAGCCATATATGAGACACTGTTAATAATATAAATGTCCTGATGATTCCATCGCAGCCAATGCTCATTCTACGGAGAAGGAGGCGCTGATGTCGGAGCTGAAGGTTCTCAGCTACCTTGGAAACCACGTGAACATTGTTAACCTGCTGGGGGCCTGCACTGTCGGAGGTGAGAAGAGCAGCTTTAACATAGTTGGAAAGTTTAATGTAATCCTCTTGCGTTTGCACGTGCTTATTACATGTTTATTGACTCGCTGTGTTTTATGGTAATAGGTATTGTTTGGAGAGGTTGTGTGGAAAGTGCAGACATGTGTTGATGTGCTGACATGCTGTTGTGCCCTGCAAATATTGGCGTCTTATTAAAAATCAGATATTGGACAGTCAGTACCCCCCAGCTCCAAGATATGAAAACGTGATGCAGTTTGACTTGTCACAAATTTACTGCGCAGTCGATCAATAATATCTACCTGTCTTGGCTCTCAACATTGACTATAATGCTGCATTTTGAATTCCACGCGAGTGTGCACGAGTATGTTATTAACACTGGACAGATTTTCTTATACTCTATTGTTGGGCGTGAAAAATCCTAATTTAAAGATATTTACACACATTTCCTCAATATGTTTCAACACAATATTATTGATATCAGCTTTTAAACACACACGTTGTTCAAACCTGTCTTAATGCACTTCACGTGCCCTGCCTTGTGTCAGTCAAATGAAAAAAATCAACATGACTGAGGCAGCTTTGCAAACCCCATCTTCTTCTGCCTCATTATTAGAGCTTTGCCCTTTCTGTTTCTTTTTCATTGTTACATGCTGTCATATGGTTTAAAAGCCAGTGAGCGAGGTTGTCTTTTTATCTCTTGCATCTTGCCAGGCCCAATTTTGGTGATCACAGAGTACTGTTGCTATGGCGACCTCCTAAACTTCCTGCGCAGAAAAAGAGTGTCCTTCCTAAACTCCCAAGTTGGTGATGGTTACTATCGCAACATCTCGAACCAGACAGAGCCTACCAGGTGTGTATGTGTGCGTATTTAAATTGTGATTGTAATTGCAAAATGGTTACCCTGTCAACATTTAATGCTTATATATATATGTGTGTGTGTGTGTGTGTGTGTGTGTGACTGCAGCAGGGAGGCGACTGGTACTGGATATATGCCCATGCGTCCCTCTGAGAAAGAAAGGTCTTCCCAGTCAGGTAAGAAGTCTCTCACTCTTCTCTTATGATATCTTAACAGCACACTGAGGACCTTACCTTCTGCAGGAAAGTTTGTGTAAACCCCTGGTTTCGTTCACTAAATGTAATCTTTACCCAGATGAAATAGATGAGCTGTCTCTGGACGCTGAAGATCTCCTCAGCTTTTCCTATCAGGTGGCCAAAGGAATGGAGTACATCACTTCCAAGAATGTAAGTTTATTAGAGACTGTGTGCTTTATTTATAGAATAGTAACAGACGAGATTTAAAAGTGCTGCCGCTAGTTTATAAATCATGTTATGGCTCAGGGCCAATGTGATGTGCATTGCTGTCGGCTAATGGTGCCTATACAGTCAGGACTGAACATAGTGAAGCTGCATTTACTGTACATTAGATAAGATCCAACTTAGACTTTAAATTTAAATTAAACCCAGATTAGGTTTCTCTTACTGCACTTTTGTTGCTTTTATTCAGTTAGGCACTATTTATGCATTTCTGTCTAGACTGTCATTCCTTTGACTATTATTCTTTTTTTTTTGTTTAATTGATTTGCAAAATATAAAGATTTAATGTCTTTTGTGTTTGTTCATTGGTATGTGCGTGCTGTGTGTCAGTCATTCACAGCAGAAACAGGTTACAAATGTCAGTGCTTATTTCCATGTTTGCTTGTGTGTGTGTGTGTGTGTGTGTGTGTTTAGTGTATCCACAGGGATCTTGCAGCTAGAAACATTCTGCTGACTCACGGCAGGGTGGCAAAGATCTGTGACTTTGGGTTGGCACGAGACATCACCACTGACGCCAGCTATGTGCTCCGGGGCAATGTGAGTCTGTCACTTATTCTCTCTGACCCCTCATCCTTCCTTGCGTCCTTTCTTCTCTCATTTAAGCTGCTACACAGTCCCATGACAAATTTCCTGAAGCTCGTGCTGACATCATTTATATGCTTGTTTTGTCCATTCAACGCTCCAAAAGCTGAAGATAACAAGTTTATAATCATATACTGTAAGACGAAAAAGCAGCAGAATTTAGTACCTGGAAGAAAATGTAAAGTTAATGTAATGTTTGACATTTTTGCTTTGAAAAAGAATAATATTCAGTAGCACATATGAAAGAAATGAATTAATTGAAAAGTGGGGCTGCTATAGGCTATACTCTTTTAGAGGACATTTGTTTTTAAGCAACACTGCTCTTGTTATCATGGCTGTCCCTCCTGCAGGCTCGTCTGCCAGTCAAGTGGATGTCTCCCGAGAGCATTTTCGACTGTGTCTACACCTTTGAGAGTGACGTGTGGTCCTACGGCATTCTGCTCTGGGAAATCTTCTCTCTGGGTAACATTTCCAGTTAGAGCTTTGTTGCTGCATCTGTGTCCTAATGTCTGAGCCATTATTATCAACCATTTGAGCTGACTGGGGCCTTATTAGAGAATCTGATGAAGCTCCCAAGCAGCAGCATCACTTAGTGGGGTGACTCATGCAAAGTCAATATTGATTGTGATGCATAATGTAGCTCCAGATACCATCATGATGTGAATCCATGGGGTTTGACATGAATGACACAAAGTTATTGAAGTGTGAACATTGTATATTTGTGTCACAGGTAATAGCCCGTACCCTGGGATGCAGGTGGGCTCTGCATTTTATAGGATGATTCAAGAGGGCCACAGGATGAGCAGACCTGAGTTTGCTCCCGTCGAGATGTAAGTGTGTAACTGTGAGAGTGTTCTTTTTTAAGGATCATAAGCACAGCTGCAACTAATTCTTTAATTTTCTAGTATAAAGTAATCTGTGAAGTATTGTTTCAATTAATCAATTAATTGTTTTGTATAAATTTAATATTGTTTTTTATATTGTAGCTATTGTTGGAAAAAAATGTAGTGCAATGTGACACAACACAAAAACATATATATAACAGAAATTATACAGATGTCGGTGCAACAAAATGCTCAGACAACAAGACAAAAAAAAAACTGTGGTACAATATGGTTAATGTAATGAAACAGAGGTTATGAGTTGGATTTGGTAGAGAAGGAAAGTCACTAGCTGTATTTTGCCCACTTCTTTGTTTAGCTTTATACTGAACTTTAAATCTGTACTCAGTAGAAAATGTTGAAACTAACTGCAGTCTCACATCTGCAGGTACGACATGATGTTGTCCTGTTGGAACCATGACCCTCTGAAAAGGCCTTCCTTCAGGAAACTGGTGGAGAGGACTGAACTGCTGCTGTCAGAAAATACCAAGAATGTAGGTACATGGAACTATGACATTACTCACGTTATTTTGTAAATATTACTTTTAGGGGTGCACCGAATGTTCGGCCACCGAAATTAATCGACCGGAAATAGCAAAAATAGCGCTTTTGGTCAAAAGACCGAATAAATTTTACCGAACAATTACGTTGACATGTCGGCAGTGTGGAGGCTTTTTAAAGTGTCCGAGAAACACGCAAAAATCGCTGTTTGCAGACACTGTTCTGCTGAACTGTCTCCTAGCACAACCACTCCATCTGTGGCTGACTTCTTAGAAAAGGCAACAAAACGGTCTGACCCGCTTTGAGTGTTTCTGTCACTCATGTCTGAGAAGGCGATTAAGCTAGCTGCACCTAAATCTGGAGTGCACACGTATTCAAGCCTTTATGGTAAATCCACTGAAACGGACCAGTGCGAGCTGACAGGCAGGTTAGCACCTTTATCCTGTCAGTTTCTCTCTTTACAAAGACAAGTTGCAGTATGAGAGTCCTACCTGAAGAGAGGCTGTGAAGTCTTCATGTTACGCGATACAGGAACCACATACAACATTATTTATCAAATTGGGTCGGACTTAATGAAATTAGTGCAACGATACACATGTGACATCGTCCAGTTTTCAAAATAAGTTGTCTATACAGGATGGAAATAAGGTTAATTGGATTATATTCACAGAAAGTATAAATCATATTACATGTGTACATTAAAAGTAAATGGACACATGGTTGCAAATGTAAAAAACATGTTTTTGAGGCCAGAAGAGGCAACAAGACTAAATTAATTAAGTAATCACTTTTAAGCATCTTACACTCCTTAGATTGATCTCATGGCCCCTTGTGGAGGCCACAGGTTGGGAACCACTGACATAAACTAAAAGTCAAGATATCTGCATTGATTTTGACCAATTTTCAATTGGCGTGTTGTTTCCCAACTTTATGGAAGTGCAATACTTAATAACATGAGTATCCTTGAATAGACTTCTTCTCACAACTACAGCAACAGCCTTGGAAAAAAGATGTAAATACCACTAGAGATATTTGGGAACATTTTATTTGTTAATAGAAGTAGGTTGCCTGGGGCGTCCTGTGAAAAGCTGTATCATCAAAACTTCCATAAACCACAACAATGTGTGTTGTTCCTCAGGTGTACCTGAGACTGACCAATGCTCCAAGTCATCCAGAGCAGCAGAGGGCGCCATCGCGGAGGCTCAGCTCAGTCTGCAGCACAACAGCCCCCACCCAGCCTTTACTGCAAAACACGGCTGATGTCTTCCTGGACTATGTCTGACATATACACACACACATACACACAGACACACACACACGTATATATGCACATACACTGGCACATACACTGCTATGAAACACACAACCCGCCCAGCTCCTTGTTCATTCTCTCCTTTTACCGCACAATCTGCAAGAGCCAAATTAGCTACTAACAACACATTCACTCAAACTAACTCTCAAACGCTGGCCTTGATGCATCACACACACATAAACACACAGATACTGTATATATATGACCCTGCACAGGGCTCTCAGTATTGGCCTCTATCTAATCTCCCCATTACCGTATTGATCTCTGTGGTAGGTATTCCAGGTGCACGTCGTTTATATAAAGCAGACTCCAGCACTAACCGCCCATCAGATACAGCATCACCCATCAGCAGCAGGAGGGGGTTTGGCTCACATTCAGCCTTCAATTACATTTTAAGATGCTTTCAGGAAAACAGACTACAAGTAAGACTGAGGAGCAGATACATAGGGTTGTTGCTGTGATGGGTGGAGTCCACAGTTTTTGGTGTCAGATTTGTCTCTCTTTTTATAGGAATATTTTTGGAACATTTTGGGAAATACACTTTAACCTCTTTCTTGCCATGGGTTTGATGAGAAACTGATACCACTCTAATATATGTGGTTTAAGTAATAAGAAATTTAGCTTAGCACAAAGACTGAGGAATTACGTGAGGGACTATTTCTTGGCGGGATCATTGACTTACAATATTTTCTGCTGGTTGCCTGGCAGCCTTATTTAACTTATTTGCCTATTTTTCTTTCTCTTGAGAATTATTACAAGTTTTCTTGTGTTGGTATTTTGATTAATAGAACCAGAGTTGGTGTTACATTTTTCTCTCTAATTAGATTAAAAACTAGAGAAAGGATAGTCATACTTGCCAACCCTCACAGTTTTCCCGGGAGACTCGCGTTTTCTTTTAACACCAATTCCGTTTTTCATTGGTTTCTTCCCAGGATCACAATTCTCCAGTATTTCTCCTGATTTATGATTTATTTTCACACCTTTTTTCTGGCTCTGTACTGCATGTATAATCCCTACAACTCTAAAAGTCCACTGTCTCCACCCAAACAACAATAAAGCGGCTGTGGAGCAAATAATTCTGTGTTCTTTACTGAGAATTAAAAGCAAGCATACATACAACATAAAAATGATGTTGCAGTATATTATTTTTCATTCTTTAAAAGTCACCAGAAAGCAGGAAACAAAGTCTGTAGCTCACCTTGTTCTCGGGGAGGACCACCAGACCTGCCAGTTTCCTATTTTAAGATTTTAAGGTTGGCAAGTGTAAGTATAGTGCATGCATCCATTGTGCTGCTGCATTGTTATCTAACTTTAATAATATATAATGATAACAGGACAATACTTGTCTGGCTCCCAAGAATAAAGACACTATAGTCAAACTGTCCCCTGTGAGGACCAGACTCCAAAAAATAGTCTTGAACAACCCCACATAAAACCACAAAATGTTTTTACACTTCAGTTTTTACACTTCAGTTTTTCTACAGATTAAATAAACAATATATTAGGCGAGCTTTAGTTAAGCTTTATCATTTGTCCTTTGGACGTAGTCAGGCCAGCTATTTCCCTGTTTATAACCTTTTTGCTGTGATAAGCTAACTGGCTGCTTGCTCCAGCTTCATATTCGATGTACAGACACGAGAGAGATATCATTCTTCTCATCTGATTGTCGACGAGAAAGCAAGTAAAAGTCACCACATTAACAAATACTGAGAGGTCAGCAAGCCTATCTTTAAACTGGTTTAACAGGCCTTGAAAAAAGAATACGACAATAACAACTACACCATAGGTGGCATGCAAGCGACATCTGCTAATATAAAAATAAAGCCATAAGTTACAGAAATACTGATTGCAATCTGTGAATTGTAGCTTTGAAAACTGTGATTTACAAAAGACTGACTGGTGTATTGCTGTATGTATTTTAGGGTTAGCTTTAGTTTAGTCTCTTAAGCAAAGCCACTGTGTGCTCTTTTTACTTGATTTATGTCAAACATGTATGCAATGTAAATACAATAGAGATGTGCCTTTAGATGTTTGTTTTTTTTTGAAAATACAGAATGCATTTGGTTGTGACACTGGTATTGCTGAGAGGACGGACAGAAGAGGGCTTCTGTACGCTGGTTTTGAGGATTGTGCAGTTTTGATACAGTTGGTTGAATTGTTATAATAAAGTATCTGCGATGGTAGAACCAACTGGAAAGTGTCCATTTCTTTTGTCATTTTCCTATTTCTGTGACACGACAGTCATGCTAGCAGCTCTGTGAGGGTGTACTGGTGGTGCTTTGAGCTAACATGCTTACAGTGACAATGCTAACATGCTGATTCCGCTATAAATAGTCAGGGGAGTACCAAAGCTAGTACAATTATCCTAAGAGGACATGAATGGCTGCACAAAAGCAGTTGGCAATCCACCCAATATTTGTTGAGATATTTCACTCAAACAACAAATGTCAACCTCTTGGTGGTGCTAGAGGAAAAGTCAGGGGATCACCTAAGTCAGAAGGATCTGGGAACCATGAATTTATGTACACGACTGAGATATTTCTTTGGATAAGTGAAAACTGCTGGTGGCACTAGATGAAGTCACTGTGACTTCTCTTGAGATAATACATACTGTATTTCATGTATTTTCAGGAGTCTCAGCAGGTTCCTTGCCTATTTTATCTTTTATCCCCCCGTCTGTTGAGATTTAAGACAAGATTTGCCGATGCACATGTTGTGATTCATCCTCTTGGGGACCATGAATGGCTGTTAAAATTGTCAAGAAAATACCTCCAATAGCCTAGTTATTGAGATCTTTCCCTAAAAAACTAAAACGTCGACCAACCTCATGGTAGAACTAGAGGAAAAGTCAGGAGATCACCAAACTCAGTAGGAGTCATCCTCTGGGGATCATGAATGTCTGCACATTACAATCCACCTAACAGTTGTTGATATATTTTGGGCTGGATGAAAGCCGTGGACTGACATCTCTAGAGCTGCTAGCTTGGCTAATAAAAGAACAAAACACAACAGAATTGCAGCAGATGTGAGTAACGTATAATATTTGCAACTGTTTTTATTTTCAAATTGACCAAGAGGGGAGAGGGGGGTTATAATAATAGCAAACATTTTGCTTCAAAATATTGATTATTACATTTGACTTTGGGGTAGATAAAGGAACACAGTTCGATAGCAGAAGAAGGGATATACATACATACAGTACAGGTAAGCATAGCACCATTTTACACTGAATACTGGTGTTCTTAGCTTTGTGTATGTGTACAGTATTATACTAGAACAAGGACTCTTTAGAACCAAATAGTGTAGTGGAAGAGTGATCTGTGTATCTCTGTGGAGGGCGGGGGAAGGGCTCGTTGTCTTGTCTATGGTGTCCCATTTCAAATATCCTACACCTCACATTTCAACAGCTTTCAAACTCATCTTCCAACCAGATGTCAGAAAATTACTTTTGAAATAACAAAGTTTGTAACATTCTGAGGTTCTTCTACAACACAAAGCCTGTAAATAAGATTGTGTTTCAGATTCTATATGTAGATCCTTGCAGTGAAAAACATGATTTTCTTTAACACCCCTTGTTTCCTTCATCACAAAGCCTGTAAAAGGTCCTCCATAATCAACAGTTAAAAACATCCATTTGTCTCTTTATAACACCTTTACATTCTTTGGGCTGGGTATCAGTGACACAAACAACAAACATTTCAACATTACCCTTTAGAGTGAATCCTTAAACACAAACTAGTCTATAGAGATCTATATTTGCTATGTGATGGGTAGAATACCTGGTTCAAATAGTAAGACCATCACTGTAAATGCTCTCTTCTATTCCTTCTATGTGGACAAAGTCAGGAAGAGGATTTGTCATTGTCGCACACATTGCCATCTAAGTTAAAACGTATCTAAGAGTTTTACCATTTGGGGCTGGTCTGATGTGTAGTTGTTTTGATAAGTGTTTTTTTGAGCAGTCGGCCATTGTAAAACAATAAAACCGCCCATATTCTTTATAGCCTGACAGGTGACCAATGCTTTGCATTGCCTAAAACCCATTCTTTTACAGTCACATATCTGTTTCCATATGAAAATATAATGGGTTACAGCGACAGTTAACATGCATACAAACCCTCACACACAAACATGTATCCAAGCTGAGCTGTCCCACACACCGGCTTGCAGAATACTGAGCCCAACCGGAGAGGAAGTTTCTTGAATATTACAATTATTTCTTTATACTGCAACGCAAGAACTGATTGGCTATCGCCAGGGGGAAACCAATACTGACTCCCCTGAGTGATACGAGAAGTAGGATCAAGAACAGGAGACGCTATATTCACACAAACACATATACACCCACCCACACACAGTCTTTCCTACACTCTGAGACAAAACAACACATTCTAAAAGCTCCTTTGCCAACAATTACGCTTCCTCCAATCCAAGGCTTTTCTGTTTGATATGGCTTACAACTGTAATAGAGGGGCTGAGCCCATTTCCATCTGTATTTAAAGTCAACTTGGGCAAAGCCCTAGTTTTAACTGCTGTTTGAGAACTGAGAGAAGAGTGAACTGAACTGCATGAGGGTTTCTGAGGCCTAACAAGAGAAAGAAGAATAAAACACTGATGATACAAAAGACCATGAGGCAGTTGGTAGAAATGCAGGTTCGCTGGTACAATGAAGTCAATGAATATTCGTCTATTCCAATCCGGACAAAAGCTATAAAGGATCTTTATATTTCTACTCCATCATATCTGCCACTGCACAAAAACAACATAATTTTAGTCTCTTTGGAGACTTCTCCCGCTATATTATTTTGATAAGGAAACAAGGAAGGCAAATTTGAATGAGGCAACTGCGTCCTTTTAGGACACTTCCTCCTCTGGTCTTTGCAGCACCACTGTCTAATCCTCCCGGGTCTGGTTCCAGACTGAGGCAGAAGCAAAAAAACTTTCCACATTCCTGAGAATACAAGTACCATCCAGCAACTTCAAACCCTTGCTAAGTCAATTATTGTAAGACACAAGGGGCGACAAGCACACATACACACACATACACACCAACCACACACAGACACTCTCATGCCCAATCATGCACACAAAAGATTGTATTCCCCCCCCAAAAAACACACACTAACTCACAGAATCACACCACAGGTTACAAATAACTAGGTCTCGACAGTGATTTACTGTACACAACCATATCAAGTGCTAAAGTTGACGATATACTGTTTGTTACGTATAGGGCTCTCTGACTGTTAAAAAATAATCCCTACTATATACACACGCATTAAATTTATTAGAGGGTAATATCTTGTTGGAAAATATATCTACACCTTTGAATAGTCTGCTTGAAAAGCAACATAATTTACCATTATTGGCACTTGGAATCACTAAACCCGTGTTATAATTCAGTTAAACTGTAATCTAGTTTCTTGCCAAACATAATTTGTACTTACAAAGTTAAAAGGAGCCTTTTTTGTCTCAGAGACACAGTGTTTAAAAACACAACTTTCACAAAAAATAAAAATAAAAAATAACCCAAGCCCAACCAATTTCAACAAACCGAAAGAAATTTAAAACCTTGTCCTGGACTTTCTTTTTTTTTTTCTTAGAGAAGGGGGGTGGTGGGGGTGGTGGTAGAGAGGTTTCTGAGAGAGCACGTCATTGCTCTGTCTTTGACCAGAAAACACTTGAACAAAGTAAAAATTTTCAAAAGCGACTAATAAAAGCTTACACAGTTATTTTTTCCATGCAATCATATAAAATACTACATTTCTGTTTCCTGTTAGGCTATATTGGATATTTACAAGTTTTTTTTTTATCATACAGTAAATCTGTACAAGGTCAGTCCACTTTGACACACCTTCAAAATAAAAGTCGTTACAGTGGCGATAAGATGTTTGCTGGATTTTTTTCAGGTTGCTGCACCCCCCTCACAATGCCGCCTCCGGTGAGGGAAAGGGGAGTTTTAATCCATCCTGTTGTCATGGTGACAATCCTTAGCGAGTTCTTTGCAGACTCACAGGCTTTCCTCTTTCCTATGATCATTTCTTTCAGATGGAGGAAGGGAGGGCAACGATTTTGGGAAAAATGGAAGTTTGTGACAGCCACACGACCGGAACAAATGTATGCAGCAATCCCCAGCTTTACTAACTGAACACATTTCCCTGCAGGCTTTACTGTGGCTGGCTGCTGACACTGTCAGTCCTGTGCGATGACGGGGCTTTCTGCTGTTTCTGGGGCTGTGGTTTCAGCTGCTGCTGGTGCCTCTGATGGTGAGATTGTTGCTGCTGCTGCTGCTGCCGCTGTTGTTGTTGTTGTTGTTGTTGTTGTTGTTGTTGTTGCTGCGGCTGCTGCTGTTGGTGCGTTGCCTGTGTGAAGGTGCCCTGTTGTTGGAGTGGGAAAGCTGCCTGCAGAATCAGCTGGGTAGACTGGTTACTGTGGAGAAGACGAGTGCCCTGGTAGGAAAACAGTGCAATAATATTAGAATATGAAGTAGTTTGTACTATTTAGATATGTTTACATTTTCATTCTAACTTAAAGTCAACAAAATTTATCTTTCTCTTCTCACACACTCATAGATACTTAAAATTATTAGATTCTGTAAACAGTAGTTTTATTATTTCAGTTTTATTATTTTATAATGCTAACTGCAGGTAAAAGACAACACGTGGTTATCTTGTCAGGATGTGTACTTAAATATTTTTGCTGCCCTCTACTGATACCTGTAGGAATTGCTGTTGTTGCTGCTGCCCCTGCTGGCCGCTCTGAGCCACTACAGTGGTCTGATTTTGGCCATCGGGCTGACCTTGGGGCGCTTGGGCTGGTTGCAGAGTCAGGGTCTGGGTTTGCCCACCCTGCTGAAATGGCACATGAGTTAACAGAGAACAACACAGGGATGTAGTCATGTAAGTGAATCATATAAGAAATGATGTTTTCTTTGGAAAATTGCAGGCCATTGACTGCATATAGAGAGATCCATCTATATTGGCAACACCTGTACAAACCCTTAAGGTCTCTCTCAATGGATTCTTTAAGGAACCAACTTGTCAAGTGTTTTTTGGACAGGCAAGACAAATAAAAGGGATGGAGTCTATTGTAGACGTCAAAATAAAAACAACACGGCGCCTGTTTTTTTTTTGACAAATCATATACTAGTCCTCTTAGTTGTTTGAGTCATCTCTTTGACTTTAATCTCTTGTGTGCTGCTTTCAGACTTAGGCAATGAAAAATATTGCTGTTTTCTTTATTTTCATTTGTTGCCAAATATCAGCATAAAATACAAAAAGTTTTTTCAAGACTACATTTATAAAACAGACATTTGCTGAGCTAGCTTTTTATTACATTGTATTGAACACTGAGCAGCTGGGTGGTTATGTGCCTCACACATGGTCTTTTGGAAGGACTCTATTTAGAGTAATTCTTGATCTGATCTTAGATACAGTTTCATTAGTTACTCTGTGACTCACACAGCTTTGTCCTTACCTGTTGCCCACCAAAGGGGTTGTACGCAGTGACCACCTGTCCCATGAACATGGAAGTGGGCACCATGACTGCTCCACATGCCATTGGAGCTGTCACAAGCTTGGTCACCAGCTGCTGCCCTGCTGGGAACCTGGAGAGAGTGAAATGGAGAAAAGGGAACAGGGGGAAAGAAAACTAAATTACAGCCAAGAATCATACTGGACATCTTCTATTTAAGTATCAGGTTTGGTGGCTGTCTACTTACCGGATCTGTCGGTCCTGTGTGAAGGTGGCCACGGCGGTGCCTTGCTGTGTGTTGTTCTGCGGCAGGCTGGTGCTGATCTGCAGCACGTTGGGCTGCCCTGGCTGGGAAATCATCATAGTGTTGTATAGTGGAGCAGATACAGAGCCCTGGGTCTGGGGCTGACCCTGGGGAGGTTGCTGGGGCTGACGCTGAGGCTGGAGAGTGGCAATGTGGGGAAGGAGGGAGGGACATGAAATGAATTCCTTTAAAAACAAAGTAAACCGACTAAAGTGTCTTTTCTTGTGGATTATTGCCCCCACTTTCTCCAGTTTTCCCATTTCATTTCAGTATATTTAGTCATGTGAACATAGGTTAAAATAAACTAAACAGATCATAAACCCCTAAATATACAAAAAAATAGAAACGGGTGGTGGTCTGGGAGGTTTTATGAAGCCGCTTCAAGACTTAGAAAAGTCCCATATAGTAAGGTGAGACATTATTTTGTCACAGTATGCTTGCTTTTGACACACAAAAATATGAACATGAAGTAAAAAGTGTTGCTTTTGTTGCCCATGCTGTTATGAACGGACTTTATTATTACATGACAGGATAACTTCGATAGATCACCATTACTGAACAGCAGAGTATGGACGTTGTCTCCAACTGTGGTAAATACGATAGTTTGTGTGTTTAACAGGACTCAGCTGTCACTGTGAGTATTCTGTCCCTCACATGACTAAACACTAGCAGCATACATGTGACCAATAGTGTCAAAAGTTCACACAAGATTAGTGTTCTCAGAGGAACTTGAAAATTGAGTACATAATTATTGTTGGACCTTTCAAATGCTGACAGTTTATCCGAGATAATCTGTGTGTGTGTGTGTGTGTCCCACCTGTGTGAGAGCATTGGTCTGCTGCTGCTGCTGCTGCTGCTGCTGCTGTAGGTTCTGCTGAGGGGGTGGAGCCTGCTGCTGGATGGTGAGTTGCTGAGTTCCTGAATGGACAGGGTTAATTGTTGTCTGCTGGACCTGACTGGTCAAAGTAGCTGTTTGTTGGACCGACCCCACCTGGGGGAGCTGCACATTCATCGCTCCACCCTGCTGCTGCAGCAACATCTGTCGGGATGGAAACACTAAATGTCAGGCCACAGTTGTCTGTGTGTCGAGGTGTACACTGCATGCCGTTATTTTTGTATATTTATTTGCCAAATCAAAATGTGCTTATTGTAATAACAGAATTGAACAGGATGCACATTCAAGTAGTGAAACATCGTTTCCTCTGAACAGAAGAAAAATTATGCATGACTCTAGTTCTGATCTAGGTCAGGCTAAGCCATGTAGAACAAAACAGGAAAAGACAAAATCACAATACCGATACTGATCTGTTAAAAAAGAAGAAAGGTTGCATGCTAGTTTTGTTTGTTTAAACAGTTTTCAACATTTGAAAAGGATTAATTATCATGTGAGAAAAAAAAAAAACTTTTGGTAAACTGAAGTCGCTCTCTTTTATTGTTTGAATATAATTAGTTTTTCTTACATTGTCTTGTAGATACTCTTTTATCAACACAGCCAATAAACAACTATCAACCAACCACCACTGAGTAAAAATAACGAATTATGACACAAAGAGAGAGTAAGGGAGGAAGAGAAATAAAATGAAGGAAGATTTCAGAGGGTGATGAGTTTGTGTACTACATTATAATTATCACATTTGAGACAATAAACCATAGACTAGATTCAAATATAACTGCGTCAATTTAATGAAAAGGCTACATTTTTAAATTCTGCGGCCTTGACAGCTACCACGCGTGTGAGTTTCCCTAGTACCTGTAGGCCCTGTCCCTGGACTCTCTGCAGCTGCTCTTGGATGTGTCTCAGCTCCTCCTGCTGCCTCTGGATGTTGGCCTGGATCAACCTTGTCCTCTGTTCCAGCTGATCCTTTAGATGCTGCATGGCATTCACCTGCGCTGAGAACTCCATCACCGGCTGTGGGTGGAAAGAAGAAGAACAGGTCAATTACTTCAGCAGTATAGACTTTGTGCGCATGCAGTTCCCAGTAACTGATGTTCTGCTGTTCATTACGAAACACTGGCAAACAAACATCACAACCTCCACAGTAGGGCTGCAGCTAATGATTACTTTCATTATTGATTAATCAGACTATTATTTTCTCCATTAATTATCTCCACCAGGTGTAAGCCTGGAGGGGATCATGTGTGTATCCGCCTGCAGCCAGTCTCTCCCTCTTAAATGTGAATATTTTCTGGTTTCTTTACTCCTCTATTACATATTTATGTGACATTCATATGTGATGTCATTGTGGAGTGACATTCATTAAATAAACCTACTGCTTTTATTACATTACTACTTGTTATCAGGAGGTAATGTTCTCATTGTCAGACACAGGCTACAGTATAGAGAACACATATATACACACTATAAACCACAACAATATAGACAGATTGAGACAATAGTGCAATGAGCAGAGTACAAAGGATGCGGTAAATTATTATTATTATTATTATTATGTCGGAGGTGGATGAGATACACAGGTTCACATACATATATGTACACATGTACACAGTGGGATTGAGTATAGTGCAAAGGATGCTGGAATAAATAAGTATTATGTGCTTGAGCTAGGTGGATTTGGTATACAGTACATACAATATAACAATATGAACAGTATAAACAGAACTAAAATAGAGAATGAAGAATAAATAATAAGTGGTAACCAGTAAACAGGTGGCTGAGTTACTGGGTTATTGCACAAGAATTGTTCCTGACACTGTGAGTCAGAAGTCAGCTGTTCATCAGAGTGATGGCTTGTGGGAAGAAACTGTTCCCGAGTCTGTTGGTTTTGGCGTACAGTGCTCTGTAGCGCCTACCAGAGGGGAGGAGCTGGAACAGCTTGTGTCCAGGGTGAGATGGATCTGCAGTGATGTGTCCTGCCCGTTTCCTGACTCTGGAAATATAGAAGTCCTGAATGGAGGGCAGGTTGGCACTGATTTCTTTTCTGAAATCCTGACTGTCCGTTGTAGTCTGCTCCTGTCCTTTTTGGTGGCAGATCCAAACCAGACAGTGATGGAGGTGCAGAGGACAGACTGGATGATAGCTGTGTAGAACTGGATCAGCAGCTCCTTAGGCAGGTTGAGCTTCCTGAGCTGGCGCAGGAAGTACATCCTCTGCTGGGCCTTCTTGATGATGGTGTCAGTGTTGGGCTCCCAGTTTAGGTCCTGGGATATAGTGGATCCCAGAAACCTGTAGGATTCCACAGCAGACACAGCTGTTGAGCATGGTGCTGGGGGGCAGAGTGTAGGGGGGGGGGGCTCCTCCGGTCATCTCCACAGTTTTGAGCGTGTTAAGCTCCAGGTTGTTCTGACTGCACCAGAGAGCCAGCTGATAAATCTCCCATCTGTAGGCCGACTCATCACCGTCCTGGACGAGGTCGATGACCGTTGTGTCGTCAGCGAACTTCAGGAGTTTGACAGATGGGTCTCCTGAGGTGCAGTCGTTGGTGTAGAGGGAGAAGAGCAGGGGGGAGACACGCACCCCTGGGGGGCGCCAGTGCTAATAGTCCGGGTGCTGTATGTGATGTTCCCCAGTCTCACCTGCTAAGTCCAAGTTTGTGATCCACTGACAGGTGGAGGCTGGCACAGTGAGCTGGGTGAGTTTGGTGCTGAGGATGTCCAGACTGATGGTGTTGAACACCGACCTGAAGTCCACGAACAGGATCCCTGCATTTGTCCCCAGAGAGTCGAGGTGTTGCAGGATGTAATGCAGTCCGAAGTGGACTGCATCATCCACTGACCTATTAGCCCGGTAGGCAAACTAGTCCAGTTGTTAAACTGAACGAAGCTCTTTCCAAAGCACCAGTGATATTTGAAGCTTCATACATCATCAGTCACTTGATATTCTTCATTCAACCCAAGCTCCGGCACAATGCATTAAAACAGTGCCCTTCACAAGAGTGAAACAAGCTTAGGAGCTTTGGTATCATCTGCTCATCTCTACAGTAGGGACAATGTACGTTGCAGTCGTGTTAGTGTGGTTTCTTTAGTTGGCATTTTCACTTTGAAACTGAAATTGTCTCGGCACAACATAAGTCAGTAGAAAATGAAATTAAAGTGTAGTAGTCCCATTCTCACCTGTACATTTGTCTGAAGCTGTTGTTGCTGCTGCTGTTGTTGTTGTTGTTGTTGTTGAGTGATCATACCCGGAGTTACACTCTGACTTGTTGTTTGAGAGCTCATAGACTGCAAATATACAGATAATCAAGAGAATTATCACTTGTTAAGTGCAGGAATTTGTTATATCACATTTCCTTAACCACACTGCATGGAAATGAATAAAATTCCATCTCTGTATGTGTTAACTCATGGTATCAATCAGTTCCTGTCAAACCAGGAAGTCCTAGTTTGCTGTGTGTTGGCGTTTTGGACACTCAAGTTTGCTCACCTGGCTGCTGATGGATGAGCGACGTTGTGATGTCATCTCCATGGTGGAGGCCAGTGACTGCCGAGGAGGCGTGGCCGTGTCCATGTGTAGCTTAGAGGCTGTTGCTGCAGAGACAGAATTATTGATGAAGTGGCATACTTTACACACTCATACTCATTCTACGTCATCCCATTGAACTCCAGGTCTGATATGTCAACGACTTGTCTTTAGGCTGAATTCAGATCAAACCCGGCATTGGGGGAAAAAAAGCGGGTAGTCGATTTAGGCAGCGGCAGAGGGGCCGCAGAGGATACTGAAAAGACAAAAAAAACGCAGCGGCCTTTGGCGGAAAAGTTGAAACAGAATCAACTTTCAGAATCATGCTTGGGTGGACAATCCGAGCAAAGTGCTCCACAGCCAGCCTGAAATATCACTGAAACCACGCACTAACCAGACGGAGTTCATGGACTATGATACACTCCAAGTTGTGTCCTCACTTGGTTTATTTCATCTACCCAGGTTCGATCTGTGTCTGGCTTGCAATCTATGCTGAAAAATAGCGATATCAAGAAGCTTCCTTTGGTTTGTGTTAATTTGTTTGAGAGAGACAGCGACAGAGGGACAGCAGTGGTCGAGTGACCTATAGAGTGAATGAGGAGGATAGCTGGTAGTGAAAAAGCCAGTGAATCAGAAACAAAACAATTTTCTGATTGTTTCACAGCGGTTAAGTTCCAAAGCACATACACCACGCAACCCTGCAGCTAATTACCGTAATGACGGATTTGGTCTGAATAACGCCTGCGGGTATTATGTCAGGGTATAAGTGACATAACTTACAAGTGCAAGTGTTGTCAGAGACATGGGATGAGGATTTTCGGGAACTCCGTGAGGAGGTCGAGGGTGATCGGCTACGGTCAAATCGCTCCAGAGCCTCCTTGAGGCTGGACGTATTTAGCTGTGACTCTGAGCCAGAGTCCTGACTCTAAAAACAGACACACAGAAGAAAAATACATATGAAAGCCAATTCTTCAATAAATCAATCAGTGGGTAAGTGAGCAAAATCAGTTATAACCGGTTAAAATCCATGAAATCTCATTTGAACCAACAACAATATACAGTAACTACACTGCACATGCTTTAGCCTGCTTTCCTACCAATACATGCTAACAAACAGCTACCATATGGATGACCCTAAAGCGTAACTGATTAACAAATAAACTGAATTAATGTGAGATTAACAACTACTATCCTTTAGTTTTATCTGTTAGTGAATTTCAATTCCAAGTTTGCTGTTCTCATCTTGATGTAATCACTGACCAAAGGGCTTGAGATAAAATCAGACAACAACAGTAAGATTGTCAGAGATTTGTGGACAGAGTGAGAAATGTTAATAGGCAGCAGCAACTCACTGCCAGAAGTTAATGGTTAACAAATTTGGAAAAATAAATAGGCTTTAGACTTCCTGTTCCAGTTCACATTAGTTTTAGGGCTTTATTTTGTGAGCCAAATGTAATCATTTATGACTCCTAATGAGGCTGAATATCGTTTGTATGGTTAATACCTTGTCACTAGAGAATGTCAGTCAATCAACTGATCAAAGTTCAATTGTGCTACTGATAGTTTAGTTTTTTCTGTTCCTCAGGCTTAAACAACAAATCTACTAATTCAACCACACTATGTTTCTTACAATTTTTCCTCTGTACCTGGTATATGGTGATTCATTTCATTATTGGGATCATGGATTTATGAAAAAAGATTTCTAGTAAGTAATTTCTCACCTTATCTGCAGTAACATCCGGGTTAGACTCCTCAATGCCCAGCTCTCTGCGCTGTTCTGCCCTCACTTCTGAATAGCTGTGTTTCAGACATAGGTGGTGTGCATGAGAGATGTGAAGACAATTTAGAAATGCTGTGTCACCTATAAATAAATCCTAGTGGTAGGGATGAAACGATTACCGGTTTAACAGTAAACCATGGTAAAATTCCCGATGGTTATTATTACCGTACACTTTTTAATTAGCATTGAAACCGGGTACGGTTACAATGCTAATGGAGGATGGAGGAAGCTACTCCGCTGATTAGAATGGAGAGGAGTGAAGCCAGTTTTGGACCAATAAAATACTACTACAGGGGCTACTACCTGTTGGCACCAGCGTCTACTGCGCATGATCACGTAGCATAACTGTGGTTTAATGACGTAGAACGGCAGAAACACCGTAATTCTGGTAGCTGCACCAACAAAAAGTTTCATGGCTCAGTGTGTTTGTCTGACTCGGATCGTCACTGATTAATCAGCCCACCTACGAGGCTCACCTGCCAAACACCAACGCAGCGTCACTGATGGCCGAATAGTTTTTCAGATTGCTGAGAGTTTATAATCTAAGCAATACGGTTACATCTCTCAGGTGCGACGGGGTATCACGGGGTTTTGACGTCATTTTTGGGCCTACATGGATCCCTCCATGCCGGCTTTGGTCGGCTTCACTGTCTGACCTCTGGTTTACCCCCTTGGGTTAACCGCGCTCTTATAATCTCACGGCAGACACTGTCCAGGTCTCCCAGACGCAGGCGCGTATGCGCAGGATGCAACGTGGGGGTTTGCGTCAATGACGGCAGAAGACAACGCTGCGTAGATTTTTCAGTCACTCTGAAGTCCGGTCGCATTGTAGTTTTTATGAGAGTGCTGAAGGAAACTTGATTGAAGAAAACCTTATAGTGAACGCAGGGTGAGTTAACTTTTAGTTTTATCTGACTTGCTAACCGCGTGTAAACTGAAGCTCTAGCTGATCTTTTAAAGACGCTACACGTTGTTCTGTTGCTGTGTGCACATGATAACACGTTAGACAGTTTAGTCAACCAACCAGCGTATCTAGACGCTACAGACTCCTGTATTTATGTCAGTTTTTATTGCAGTTACTATCACTGTCACTATCTTCTAAAGACGTATTTGTTTTCATGTAATTGTCCACGGGGTCATTGTATTACCTATAAAATATAAAATCTTGATAATGCACACTTAGATGATTTTCATATGTTTACAAAATGTATTTGCGGTTTTATTTTTTATGCAAACAAAATGGCAATTGTATTTGTAGTTTTCAATATAAAACTTGCTGAAATGGTTTCAGTGTGTGTATCGGTACATTTTAATATTTTTTGACACATTTCTACAATACCGTGATAATACGGATAACCATGATAATTTTGGTCACTATAATCGTGATATGAAATTTTCATACCGTTTCATCCCTACCTAGTGGAAATGGGGAGCCTTTTATTTGGATCACAACAAAAAAAAATCTCTAAGAGGTACAGAGAAAAAGAAGAAACAGAATTCAGCTGAAGTACCTGACTACTGTGTGCGTGCAGACAATAAACTCAGGCCGAGAGTTCCACTGGTGATAGGTGATGTAATAGTGCGTCTGAAGCCAGATCCACTGTTGCCCTTTAGTTAAGAAACGATAGTAGCAAGACTTCCCTTTACCGTACTGCATCACTGAACAGGAGAGAGACAAGAGCGTCAGAAACAACACGCAGGGAAATACTTAACTGAAGGTGTGTAAATGTGTCCCTCACAGTGTTCGTGACACTTGGCGAGTGTCTCCAGGTCGTCCACGTGGTAATAGTCGTACCCGGATGTTCCTAGAACCTCGAATGGCAGGTAGCCTATGATTGGTGGAGCTCTGAAAAGGAGAAACGGCATCTTTATCAATGACGCTGACACACACACACACAAAACAAAACAGAAGGTAGGCTTCACAAAGCCCTGCAGTTATGTCATATCTCAAAAAAATTTGCAGTGTGTATAAATTTGATGGCTGGGCATGAAGAGAACTAGTTCATACAGCGTGTTGTCAACCGAAAAGCACCTCTGACAGAGTGTACTGGCGCCTTAAGGAGTAATGCAGAATTAAGTGTGTGTGTGTGTGTTTACCTGTGGTCTAAGAAGAGGAACTTCCATTCTAAGCTGTGCCTGGAGGTGAATTCTTCATTGGGCTCCTCCACTGTACACATTTCCTATGAATATAAAAATAGAAATAACAGAGAGAGAGAAAGTATATAAGAAAGGGATTCATTAATGACTCTGTGATTTTATTTGCATGTGTGAGTGTGTCCAAGAATACCTTGATAAACTGGGGTTTGGCCAGCCGAACTGTGGCTACAAAGCACACCTGGTCATCGAACGCAGGTTGTAGTGACCGCTGTAACACCCCTGCTAGGCCATTCCTCGTCATGTTGGGAACTAGACAACACAGAGGAGAGTTTGCCATTGAGAATGTTGTTTACTCTGTGAATCAAAATATATTGTGTAGGTTTGGGCAGTATATATTTTTTCATACCTTCCTCACAATTCACCATACGAATATATGACAGTGTTTGGGGGGGGAAATATATATATATATATATATATATATATATATATGCATAAAATATGCATTTAGCCTACTTAGACAAGTCTTGTTTGGGTTTAAACACTTATGGCCTATGGAATAATGCATAGATAAGAAATAAGCGCCCTTCTTCCATAGATTCTTGCTGGAGGACCCGAAGACACTAACTTGCCACGGTGGATCCTGACACATCAGTGGGCCAAAAGAGGCATTTTTCTTTATTAGTTATCCAGGGAAAGTTAAAAAAAATCAAGGGCAACAGGACTTGGTTGAAGATTTTACTAGTCGTGTAACGGTACCGGTTTCAAGGTATCCCACTGTATGAAAATGTTCTGTTACACCGTTGCTGCGGTATCAGCGGGGGGTTTTTATGTCTCGTCAAAGAGGAAAGCGCAGGAATACTGAGAGTAACACTCCCTCTCCAATTGGTGTGAGCAGTCAATCAACTGTGTGTAGGATGGAACATTTCCCCCCATCGACAAAGATGAAGTCTGCCGTAATATGACGTCAAATATGATATCCCATCTATGGTACAACCACCCGTCACTCTTCGCTAAATTCAAGGTAACACTATCTTGAAATGAACATTTGCTGAGAGAGTTAGCGTGTTTAGCACTAGTGAAATAAATACTATTGGCTTGCTACCGAGGCAGATAACATGGCTAATTAACTAGCTAACACCAGCTAGTTTCACTTCTCTCGTTACTTCAGAGCGGGGAAGAACAGAGCACTACGTTTCTGTGATTTAGTAGTAATGAAATTTAGTTTGTTTAAGTCTTCCACCATTGTGTACATCTGTTTATAGTCATCAAAGTTCATGTTTTACGACATGTATAAAAAAATAAAATAAATAAAAAAATAGAGGAAGAAAACTCAACTGTGGCTCTGGTTTTTTCCACTGTTTGTTTATACATCAACACTGAAATAACAATAACTGATTTTATAGCATTATTTGCTATTATTCTTAGCAGCAGTGTTATAAGCAATATAATTTGTTGCTTAAAAATAGAATCCATTTTATTCAGTGGCGGAAAAAAAGTTTGTTTTTTACCCAGACATTTAAAAATAATACATTTAAAGCTGTAATACCAATACAGTGAGAGCGTGATATTTTATGCTATCACTGATATCATTCCTGTCCATGGCTTCCCACCACTCGCTCGCTGTAGAGTCACTCCTTTTTGTGTGCATGAGTGTGTGATTCAGCGAAAGTGAGCAAGCGGAAGGTGAGTAGTGAAGTTCAGCAATTAATGTGCAGTGTAGGTTACAGTTTGTCAGTGAATAAAGGCAACAGCTAAAGCTCCTGTGTGTGTTTGTTGTTTACCAACTGTTGGAAAAGTGAAGGGGGATATTTTGTTTGTTTTCACGTTGAAGATGAATTCAGGCAGTATCAAACGGTGTCGCCCACCTATGTTCGGATTGTACACTACATCACATAACCTAAATACAGCATCTCCGTATCACTTTAATAGAAAGAGTAGTGTCTGTATTTTTGACGGTATAGAAAGTCATATGGTCTGAATATCTAAATAACCTGGTATACTGTAATACCTTGATACCGCCCAAGCCTAGTACTGTGTGGTTCTGTGTAGGGCATTCATTTAATGACCACTTTCAAAGCATGTGTTAACTGATCACACAAAGTATGTGCACTGTCCAATTGATACTGGTGCACATTCCTGTGAATAAACAGGCCTGCTATGTGAAATAGCAAAGAAATAAATATTTTAACTTTTAAGTGGCTCTTTTTATTGCCATTTAGCTGTTCTAACATTTCTCACATGCAATATTGTTTAAATGACTAAAATAAATAAAAAATAAGTGGCATACCGTTGTTGAGTGACTTGAAGTTGCCAATGAACTTAACATATTCGTAGACAGGGGGCTCTTTGGGGTCAATGGCCCCTCGCAGCATATGGCAGCAGAACTCCATGTGGTTCTTAGCTGGAGACGATAAAATGAAACAAAGAAAAGTCAGGTCAAAGTCAATTTGGCATTCAGTGATGTATTTAAAAATGTTTCCTGATGCTGGAAGGAAATCAGAACACAATAAGAATGAATTATGTCTCTTTGTTTAGAAGATGATTATTTTTTATCAACAAATTATTATTTTTATTATTATTTATTTATTCATAATAAATTCCACGAACAGACAAAAGATGAACAGGGCAGGATTTATACTAAACTAACACAGTTAGCTACACCGCTATGGAAACTTTACATCTATCTACATTCTGAAGTATAGAAGTAAATGTTAAAGTGAATGATACTCTCGTTTAACCACCAAACACACAATACAGTAGAGTATTATTGGATAATGTTGAAACAGGCAGTAAGTATGGTGTCATATGACTTGGGGTGCTACTGACTCTTCAGGTAATCGTTGCTAAGGCTCTCTGGGTCGGTGGGGTGTGTGGACAAAGACTTGTACACTTCGGAGTGTTCCCCAGTTGGCAGGAAGTTTAACAGGTTCTGGTCCACCAAGTCCGTCTGGGAAACACATGCATAAGAACACACACACAAATCAGAAAAAAATCAAACCTTTTTTTCAGCACACACTGGCATTTGGTCACACTGACGTTTGGTCAGATCGACACACAGACAAATTCTGTTTAAGCTTGTTATACAATACATAGGGTGACTAATATATACCACACAAAATACACAACAAGTGTTGCTCACCGGGAGATGTTCTAGTAGTGAGGTGACACTCTCAGAGACGTAGAGGATGTTCCCATCTGTCAATATTGCTATAAAGAACCCATCCAGAGCCTGATGATGCAGACACGACAATATAAAGAGAACACCCTTAAATGTCAGTAAAAGTCAAAGACACCAATTTGTTGCTTGTTAAAAATCAAAAAAATCAAAAATCAGTTAAAATGACATAGCAGATATTTTACATTTAGAAATAAAATCACAATCCAATTGGACTTTTTGAGGTGAGTTAATCTTGACCCTGGTCATGAAAAACCTACCTAAAGAGTTAAAAAAACAGCTCTTATAGCAGAGAAATGTGAGATTACTAACCTCCAGCATGAGCTGGGTGAACTCCTCATTGCTAAGAAAAGGAGGCTTCCAGTCCTGCCTGATCTCACTTGACTCCGACTGGGCTGCGATCTCTGAAGGAGGAAAAAGGAGAGCAAATGGGATACTTTAAAGGGATGGAAATCAAGTCTTGCAGGAAAAAAGTCAAGTGAGGAAAACATAATCAAGCAACAGGGCATAAAAGAGACAAAAACAAAGGAAGTAATAACGCATGTGATATAAAACTGTATTGACAAGGCTCAGAGTGAAAACAAGGCAATTAAACAGAACACTAGATAACACAGAGCACCAGTCAAGTGGTAGCCGAGAGTTATTGAGCATGCACGGCAATGATAAGAGCTAGGATTAAAAATAACAGTAACCCATGTGCAGAGATCAAACATTTCAAGACACTCCCAGTATTTAAGTTGTGATCAACTAAGATTATGAAGGGAAAAAGAGTAAAGCATGTATGTATAAAGTACCTCAAGCACAGAATGAAAGCACGGCATAATCATTAATCATATTACACCGTCAAAAAGGTTAAAATTAATTAAAGAGTAATTTACACTTCACATGTACAGTGCCCATGTCTCATTAAATGTGTAATAAAATCATGGAGTGTCTGTTCTGTTTAACAACAAGCTCTAGTAATGAGAGTAAACGAGCACAGACAACAGTGTACACAAGAGTGAATGATAAACCTCACTACAGAACAAGGAGTCCACCCAGTGAGGTGTTCAAAAAAGGAAGAGACGTGAGGATGGCAGGAAGCCCTGACCTTTGTGTTTACACAGGAAGTCGATGCTTTTCTGCAGGATGGTGGACTTGTCCATCTTCCTGGTGTTGCCCGGCAACATGGTGCCAAGTTCCTTGATGAGGACATTGAACTGGTCTCTCCGTTTCTTCTCAGACTTGTTACGGGACACACTACAATCAAATCCACAGTTATGAATTAAGATTTTATGTTTTGCAGTTTTGTTTGTTTTATTGAAAAACGTTTTTAAACGTTTTTAAAGGTTCAGTGTGTAATATTTAAAAGGATCTATTGACAGAAAGGCAATATAATATACATAACTATGTTTTCAGTGGTGTATAAAGGCCTTACATAATGAACCGTTATGTTTTTATTACCTTAGAATGAGCCATTTCTATCTGCATACACCGTGTTGAACAGATTTGTGCAGCAGTGTTCATGAGAGAGAGAGAGAGAGCGAGCGAGCAAGAGGAGGTGCCGAACATATGTACTGCACGCAGCTCTGCAATACGATTTTAAATATGCCTAATAAAATTTAATGTGACGGTCAGCATTGATAATGTGGCGGGCTGCCACAAATAAATCAATGTATGGGAAACACTGGTTAGTAGTAGTAATAATAGTCATCTGGTTTCTGGCTATTCTGGTTTAGTCCACAAGAGCCGACGAGCGTGTAGGCCACCGTAGCTTCTCCTGCACACTTTGAAAGGGAGGGGTGAGCGGTGACTGATTCATGTGGTGCACATGAACACATGCTTAATCAGAAGAACGACTTCACAACTCGGGAAATGGGACCATCCGAGGAGCACTTGAATGCACCGTGAACAGCTGGTTGCAATTCGCAATCCTCTCCACTAGATGCCACTAAAATTTACACACTAAACCTTTAAAGAGATTTGTTTGTTTGTATGTTTTTTTTTGTCCAGACTGGCAGTTTTGACATACAGAAAAAACACCACAATGAAAAAAGCAGGTTCAACCGTTTTGTCAGTGTTCAAGTTAAGACAGTAGGTCTGATAAAGTCGACACAGAATATTCTCTACAGGGGCTAAACATGTAAAACGTGTTTCAAATGTGGTTATTCAACAAGTGTAGGTCTGGTCAAAATACCATGTGATGTTTTATGAAAAGGATTGGTGTATTAATAATAAACATATACTACAAGTAGCATCACTCTAGAGTGATTCTCTTTATATCTAACTTACCGTTTTGCTTTGTCCTTTTCATCTTCTTCCATCAACCCATCAAAGATGCTACAATCATCCCTACAGGAGGAAAGGAAATTCTTTACAGACTTCCCTGAGTTTTTCCCAACTCACTTTGTGTTTTCCTCTGCGTGCACGTTTGTTGGCAGCTTGAAAGCAGATATGTATTGTTAATAATAGTGAATGACGGATGTTGGCTAATGAGAGGATTCCTACATGCCAGGACCAAGTTTATTTTTGGGTCACACACACACACATAAAAAAAGAGAGTGAGACAGGCAGAGAGAGGGAAACGGAATGTGTTGTGCTTGCCAAAAAGGTTTACGAGTGCATTTGTGTAACAGGCCATTTCTTCTGTATGTTTCAATTAATATGGGTCAATATGAATACTTTCATTTGTACTGATGGTTGATATCTGGGGTGGTTAAGATCTTTAATTTTCATGGTTTTGATGCCAAAAGAGGCAAGAAATGCCGTTTGACAATAATAAGGTGACGTTTTTGCAAATCTATATATCTAAACATATTTTGTACTTGTGTCAAAGCATGTGCATGTCATAATTCGTGTGTGTTGCAGCATACCCTATGCTTGATGTCATGGTGGCTGCTGATCAGGGCTGTGGCTGCAGTGATTTGCTCTTTAGGCGTGAGGTAGGCATTTGGAAGACCACCTGGAGAGACAGAAAAACAAGTACTGTATTAGCTTAAGTGCCAGTTATGATTTACATATATTGCAATTCAGCAGACTCCAACACTAATCACAATTATCACCATTCCCATAGGGCTCAGATAACTGGCTCACCATGGTGGCTGCTTTTATACTTCAATACCCTACTGACCCTATACACTATCTAGTGTCAACTTGACCAGTGATAGACCGATTAATTGGGCGCTATCTGGCATTTTAAGATAATTGGCATCTTCCATCCTAATGACAGCTAATCTAATCTAAAACCATTACTGGCTAGCATTAAATATTAATTGTTCTACTGTAGAGAATAATGCAGTTGAATGACGTCAGTTCTGACAATTTGTACCCCACTATCCCTTACACGCCAGTCATGTTCTGAAATCTACAGCATAACCTGAAGTATTTTTCTGTTTCATTAATTAATAAAAAATCCCTCTCAAAACAACACATTACTGTCTAAAATAACCATGTATAGTACATTGTACTCTGCATGGAATAATGGAATTATCCATTACTTTTCTTTGTTTTGATATTGCCATTATACACTCACTGGCCATTTTATTAGGTACACCTTGCTAGTACCGGGTTGGACCCCCTTCTGCCTTCAGAACTGCCTTAATTCTTAGTGGCATACTTTCAACAAGGTGTTGGAAACATTCCTCAGAGACTTTGGTCTATGTTGACATTATCATCAGTTGCCGCAGATTTGTCAGCTGCACAAACATGATGCGAATCTCCCGTTCCACCACATCCCAAAGGGTGCTCTACTGGATTGAGATCTGGTGACTGTGGAGGCCACTGGAGTGCAGTGAACTCATTGTCATGTTCAAGAAGCCAGTTTGAGATGATTTGAGCTTTGAGACATGGCGCATTATCGCATTATCATTATCGCATTATCATTATCCTGCTGGAAGTAGCCATCAGAAGATATAGATGGACATGGTCAGCAACAGGTAGGCTGGGGTGTTTAAACAATGCTCAGTTGGTACTAAAGGGCCCAAAGTGTGCCAAGAAAATATCCCCCACGCCATTACACCACCACCACCAGCCTGAACCGTTGATACAAGGCAGGATGGATCCATGCTTTCATGTTGTTTACGCAAAATTCTGACCATCAGAATGTTGCAGCTAAAATCGAGACTCACCAAACCAGGCAACATTTTTCCAATCTTCTATTGTCCAGTTTTGCTGAGCCTGTGCAAATTATAGCCTCAGTTTCCTGTTCTTTGCTGACAGGAGTGGCACCCGGGGGTCTTCTGCTGCTGTAGCCCATCTGCTTCAAGGTTCAATGTGTTGAGCATTCAAAGATGGTATTCTGGTTGTAACGAGTGGTTATTTGGGTTAATGTTGCCTTTCTGTCATCTCGAACCAGTCTGCCCATTCTCCTCTGACCTCTGACATCAACAAGGCATTTTCATCCACACAACTGCCGCTCTTCTCTGTAAACCATAGAGATGGTTGTGTGTGAAAATCCCAGTAGATCAGAAGTTTCTGAAATACTCAGACCAGCCCGTCAGGCACAAACAACCATGCCATGTTCAAAGTCACTAAAATCCCCTTTCTTCCCCATTCTGATGGAAGTTGCCTTGACCACGTCTACATGCCTAAATGCATTGAGTTGCTACCATGTGATTGGCTGATTAGCTATTTGTGTTAACAAGCAATTGAACAGTTGTACCTAATAAAGTGGCCGGTGAGTGCATATCAGCCATCGACCGTCCTGCTCTCTAAACATCGACATCGGCAATTGCAAACCCAAATTGTTTTACCACTAAACTTGACTGAATCCCGAATCGTAGCACAGATGTCCAAAAAAGACCCTATTTGTAGTCAATAAAACATTATAACATGCTGTATGTTGCAACATGAGTTGGGAACATACATCTAAATATAGACTAATTAGATTGAATCAGTGAAAACGAATGGTCTGCATGACTCTTCCATATGTTAATTTAAGTGCAATCACAACATGTGTAGTCACTTCTCACCCCAATGCAGCTTATGCACACGGTCAGCTAACGTCTTTCAGTGGTCGTAGAAAAGGTTTGGGGTCAAAGCTGACTCTACGGTGAAAACTGACATTGACGTCATTGGGGTCACAAGAGGGCACCAGACCACAGGAAAGACATGGTGGTGAACCAAACCTGTGGAAAAAATCAGAGCAGAAAACTGTGGTCATGAGGTGAACTTGCCCCTTGTGATTTGTGATAGTTTTTATAAATAAAATTGACTTGACCATCAGCTTTTAGCAATATTCTATCTATAATCCCATGAGAATAGTGAATAAAATTCACTCTTTGCTGAGTCCAATTGCAACTACAGCTATAAATTATAATTTTCATAAGATAAAGTGTTTTATACAAGGAAAAAAACAACATCTTGGTTGTAACCTACATTAACACTGGGATGGTCAATTTACTTCAGAAGCATTTCATATTTGTTGAAATTGTCTTTACATCCCTTTGGAGGGAGGCCTGAAGGGAAGCGGGTGGATTTTTTTTCAGTTGGCTACTTTTCATAATGGAGCTGAGCTAGTTTCTCCCCAGCTTTAATGGAAGAAAAGCTCAAATATTAAATTATTTCTGAGAGATTGGTCAAATGTTTCACATGCAAAATCAGATTGTGGGTTGCATATACAATTGATCAAGTCAGTTTTTTAATGTCAGATGCAGCAGAACAACATGTTACCAGCCAGTGTAGTAGACCACCTTCACTGACTTTACTGATTTACCAACTACTGACAATGTTACTGCTTTTTAACCAGTTTTACAGTGTTTCATTTAATTAACTTGGACCTGCACAAAAAAATTACAGATGCTTTCAAATAAAAGTTTTTTTTTTTTTTACAAGTACATTATTTCTAGTTTTATAACTTACTAATAAATGAACTAATAATAAACTACAGAAACAGATTTTATGAATTAACATTGTTAGAAGATCCTGGAATCCAGTTTGTTGTGCCACAAAGTTTTTTAAGTGTGAATAATATACATCAGTGCAGAGAGGAAAACCTGGAATAAATCAGTTATTATGCATACATTATTAGTATTTAAGAAACTCTTCTGGAGCACACTGATCCAGTTATGAAAAAAGCGGTGATTAAGTATTTTCTTACTTACTTTCTGGAATTTCTCTTTGCAGACAAAACTTGCTGTTTTAGATGCTATCCTTCCAGGCACTGACAAACTTTCTCACGTGAGCCACACCTCACCTGCAACACAAATAACCCACACTCATTCACAAATATCCAAGGGGCCTGTGTTCACTATTTACCATGCATGTAAATTCTATAAGAAATGTAAATATGTTGGTTGCTGCAAGGTAAAAACAGGAAAATGGGGTTGAATAGTTTTATTGGTCAGAAAATGCCCACTTCATCAGAGCCCACTGTGCCATCATCATCAGACCAAGAGTCCAAAACTAAAATATACTGATTCTACTACAATATTATGGCTACAACTAATAGTTATTTTTATTATCAGTTAATTTGCCATTTAGTTTTTCGATTAACTGATCAATCCTTTGGTCTACAAAATGAAACGAAATTGCAAAAAATGGCTGTCTCAATATGAGATTAAGATGAGTTCGGACCAACAGCCCAAAACCCAAAGACTTTACGGTGATATAAAACACACAAAAGCAGAATAACCTCACAATTAAGAAGCTGGAACCAATTCATGTGTGGATGTTTTGCAAGAAAAAATGACTAATGCAATTATTGAATTATAAAATTTCATGATGTCAATCCCCTGTAATCATCAGCCAGTCAAGAAAAGCAGCAACTCCTCTCAATTGAGAAGCTACAGTGGGTACGGAAAGTATTCAGACCCCTTTAAATTTTTCACTCTTTGTTTCATTGCAGCCATTTTCCAAAAATCAAAAAAGTTCATTTTATTTCTCAGTAATGTACACTCAGCACCCCATCTTGACAGAAAAAAACAGAAATGTATGCAAATGTATTAAAAAAGAAAAACTGAAATATCACATGGTCATAAGTATCCTTTGCCGTGACACTCATATTTAACTCAGGTGCTGTCTATTTCTTCTGATCATCCTTGAGATGGTTCTACACCTTCATTTGAGTCCAGCTGTGTTTGATTATACTGATTGGACTTGATTAGGAAAGTCTGTCTATATAAGACCTTACAGCTCACAGTGCATGTCAGAGCAAATGAGAATCATGAGGTCAAAGGAACTGCCTGAAGAGCTCAGAGACAGAATTGTGGCAAGGCACAGATCTGGCCAAGGTTACAGAAAAATTTCTGCTGCACTTAAGGTTCCTAAGAGCACAGTGGCCTCCATAATCCTCAAATGGAAGACGTTTGGGACGACCAGAACCCTTCCTAGAGCTGGCCGTCCGGCCAAACTGAGCTATCGGGGGAGAAGAGCCTTGGTGAGAGAGGTAAAGAAGAACCCAAAGGTCACTGTGGCTGAGCTCCAGAGATGCAGTCGGGAGATGGGAGAAAGTTGTAGTAAGTCAACCATCACTGCAGCAATCCACCAGTCGGGGCTTTATGGCAGAGTGGCCCGACGGAAGCCTCTCCTCAGTGCAAGACACATGAAAGCCCGCATGGAGTTTGCTAAAAAACACCTGAAAGACTCCAAGATGGTGATAAGATCCTCTGGTCTGATGAGACCAAGATAGAACTTTTTGGCCTTAATTCTAAGTGGTATGTGTGGAGAAAACCAGGCACTGCTCATCACCTGTCCAATACAGTCTCAACAGTGAAGCATGGTGGTGGCAGCATCATGCTGCTGGGGTGTTTTTCAGCTGCAGGGACAGGACGACTGGTTGCAATCGAGGGAAAGATGAATGCGGCCAAGTACAGGGATATCCTGGACGAAAACCTTTTCCAGAGTGCTCTGGACCTCAGACTGGGCCGAAGGTTTACCTTCCAACAAGACAATGACACTAAGCACACCGCTAAAATAACGAAGGAGTGGCTTCACAACAACTCCGTGGCTGTTCTTGAATGGCCCAGCCAGAGCCCTGACTTAAACCCAATTGAGCATCTCTGGAGAGACCTGAAAATGGCTGTCCACCAACGTTTACCATCCAACCTGACAGAACTGGAGAGGATCTGCAAGGAGGAATGGCAGAGGATACCCAAATCCAGATGTGAAAAACTTGTTGCATCTTTCCCAAAACGACTCATGGCTGTATTAGATCAAAAGGGTGCTTCTACTAAATACTGAGCAAAGGGTCTGAATACTTATGACCATGTGATATTTCAGTTTTTCTCTTTTAATAAATTTGCAAAAATTTCTACATTTCTGTTTTTTTTCTGTCAAGATGGGGTGCGGAGTGTACATTACTGAGAAATAAAATGAACTTTTTTGATTTTTGGAAAATGGCTGCAATGAAACAAAGAGAGAAATATTTAAAGGGGTCTGAATATTTTCCGTACCCACTGTATAACTAGGGAACACTGGCCATTTTTGCTTGAAAAATTAGTCGACTAATCGTTATATTATGTCTGACAGAACAGTCCAAAAATGAAGCTCCTAAACTTGTTAATCAGAACACAACACCAATCAGACAGCATACTAAAGTTGCAACAATTAATTGATTAGTTGTCAACTATTACATTAAAACAAAACAAGACATTTGAGGATGACATGTTGGACTTTGGAAAAACTGATTGACATTTTAAAGACCAAGCAACTAATTGATTAATTGCTGAAAATAATCTTTCAAATTAAACCGACAACGAAAAGACTCGCTAGTTGCACCCCTACAACATACCACCACTTGGATCACATTGTGATCAGAAAATAGCCCCCATGTAAGAGGATTTTTCTGTAGATATGACAGTAGAAGGAAGGTCAAAGTGGGTACAGTAAAAACATATGGATAACATTATAGCCCAGCTAGATTATCTTATTGCACTCATTTTACTGGGGGATAATAGTGAGATTTAGGTATTTTAGTAAACCATCCAAAAGACCCCACAGTGGTCCCTTGTCTGTACTTCGACAAGCACTGGCCTGACCTACAGTCATGTATTCCTGACGGCCAATAAGTGAAACCTCATTAGACTGATCTTATGCAAACTGTACACCACTGCCAATGAATAAACACAGATATATTAGAAACATGGCACAGTGCAGACCACGTAGGGCAGTCGACCAAAGCAGCCACTGGCTATTGGCTAGGAAAGGTAACGTTAATATTTTTAATATATCTTTAGTTACACAGAGGGTTCGTTATACAACTCCTAAGACAGCAACCCATATAGCAAGCTAGCAGGCTAACTAAGCTTGCCACCGAAAACTGCCCATTTAAGATTTAATGCTCTTACTGACCCCGTTTCCTCTCGCTACACTCGCAAATACTGAGTGACACAGATACAGCAGGTAAATTATTCCCCGTTAGTGAAATAAACAGGAGGAATATCAGTCCCTATCATGGCATGCTGGCGCCGAGCCTCAAGCTGTCACGCAACAACTGACATTGAAGACAAAATAATCTGTAATATATATATACTATATATATATATATATGTTACCGTCGGTCCTAAAACACCGCGAGAAAACTGAGCCTAAACATCCGCGCGGGGCAATGTAAAAGCCCACAAAAGCATAATACATGTCGGCCGCGGAGAAATGCCTAAAACCAGAGATGGTGGAAACATTTTCGCGGCAGATGTATGTGTACACACACACACACACACACACTCACACACACACACACACAGAGTCCCCAGGCGCACACACATACACACACACGGAGAGCGGTGCGCGCACACGCTCGCCCACTCGTACACATAGACACTGGCTGCTCTGAATGTGGGTCACTGGGCCTTGCTCTCCCTCGAGCGTGCGGAAACAGTCCCGAAGCCTCCTCTGCAGTCCGACCGCTTCCGCACGCTAAAAAACAAACAAACCTCGGACACCGACCACAGTGGCCGTGCTATTACACACTCGACGACCATCGCTGGCTTTGGATGTGCATTAAAAATAATCCTTACCTTCCCGAATAACCGACAGCAGCCTCCGTGTTTTGCTTACTTGAGCGTTGCATCGATGCGGTGGGGGCCGGGAGGACTCCGGGTTGGGGAGAAAAACAGGAGGCCTACTTCATATTACGACATTACGACGTACTGTCATGCGCAATGGAGACAGTTAGGGCGCACTATTTTGCAAGTACAGTAGCTGTGAAACGGAGAGGGGATCGCTGAGTGATCTTCAGAGGGGAAATGACTCCGCGTGTTTGTGTGGCTCTTCCAGCCAAACTAGTCCACTGTAGATGTCACCTAGTTTTTTTTACATGATAGAAAATAAAATGACATGGAAGCGATTCTGCCACCAGACAAATGAATACATTCAAAGTGGGAACGACGGATCTCCACTTAATTCGCCTTTTAATTAAAGGCTTAATATTTAGAGATATAAAGCCACCCTATTTAGATATTTTCACAATTATATTAAAATGCATTATTGACATAATCATATTCTTTTCAGAGAGAACAGTTTGTGTTACAGTGATTGGACTGTGAATGTGACATTGGACGGTCGCCAGGACGGTGCAGAGCAGGGTAGGGATGGCCCTGCCTCATGGCAAGGGGTTTCCCCTTTAATCGACATCCAATCAGAAGCTCTACACACCGTGACGTACGTTGTACCTAGACTGTGTCAGGGTCCCCAAAATTCATATTATTGTGTATTTTGACATTAAGCTATTTTTATGCGGCATGGCAAGTGTTTAAATATTAATTTCACATGGTGGAGAAGATGATAAACAACAGTAAGTGTATTCCTGCTTAAAACTTTCTATGCAAATAACAACATTCATAAACAAGGTATCATTAGGGTAAAGAGATGACAGAGAAGTGTGGCCATGTAAGGGCTGCAGTAGACATGTATAATGCTGGCAGTGATAGCTATTTATACTGTATTGTATGTATGTATATGTCTTTACAGAAAAGAGAATAGTATGTTATATTGTTATATACAGATAAGTACAAGACATAGAAATCACATATACATATATATATATAAAGACAAAATAAACAAGTTACTGTCTCGCTGTTGCAGAATTAAATCTCTCCAGTTAGTATAGAAACTGTATTATTATATTATAGACCTGGAGAGGCCATGTTTCCTCTGACAGTCCTGCTACATAGTAGATGGGCTTCAGCTGTGTAATTGCCCTCTATCAGTGCAGGACTCTAGCTCTAACAGGAAGATTTGGACAATATTTGGACAATTGAGTGTAAGTTGAACCAGAGTTCTACGGCCCCTGTGTCCATGTTTACACGGAAGTCAACATGCAACATGTAAACTCAACTTTTCTTCATCATCCTCTCTTACTGTCCCTCCCCAACTGGCCAAAGATACACCCAGAAAAGTGTACTGACATGGCAGACAGGCGTGGAGACATTTGGGGAAATTAAACAGTGATCTCTTACCTTAAATGATGATGCACAGTGTTGAAGCTAGAAAGTCGTCTCTCAGACAGGATCTGGCTCCCATCATTCACTTAAAAGAGCTGGCTCATAGAGCCAATTCATTCGCGACCGACACACCGCTAGATACCATCAAAAATACATTTTCAATAATAACAGTGGTGTCACAGTGCAAGCAAGTAATTCTGTTTTATGTCATATACATTATTTATTGCATCACAACATCAGGGTAATTTTTTGCCTTTACTGTACTACAGCTTTTTAAATGCAAAACTGTTACAGAGTTCAAATGTCTGCAATTAAACAATGCAAACTTAAATCTGTGCGAATAAGTTTAAATAGAAGTCAAATACTACAATACTGCCGCAAAAATTGCAAATTGTAAAATCCAGAATCTACATGTATAATGAACACAGCGTTCCTGTTTTCACACAGGCATACTTTGAATTCCAGCCTTGGGCTTGTGCATTAAACAAAAAGTTAGCTCCATTCTAGTTTGCTTAATGTATAACAGTGCCAACCTCATTAATTCTCTGCTCCTGCGTGGACTCATTATAGCCCTGCACCTTCTCTGAATTTCTGTCTGCCTCGTATTCCTTTCTTCAGTGTCCTTCCTCTCTGTGAACTCAATTTTCCCCTTCACTTCTTCTCTGTCATAATTTTCAGCTCTCACCTGCTTTGTTCGGATTAGCCGTTACCTGCTTCTTAAGGATTCTCCACATTTTCCTATCTATTATTTTCTCTCCTTTCTCATCTTTCCTTTGCTCAACACCCCTTCTTGCACAATTTGTGTTGTCCATTCCATAAGTCATCTCCACAGCCTGCTCTTTGTTTCAAATTCAGCTTCTCTTTTCTTCAGATCTCCTGTATTTCTTCCTGTCTTTTGTTTTGCTTTCTTCTTCCTTTGCTTCCTCTGCTTTTTTCAGTTGTTAAAATTTCCCACTCTCACTCCTCTGCATCCTGCGTGTCTTCTCCCCTTCTCTGTTTCTTGATAATTTTTTAATACTTCTTGATAGCCAGATGCTCTTTCTTCCTTTCTTCCTTCCACAACTTCATCTGTCCTTCCAGTGTAACACAGATCTTCTCCTATCCTTACTGCCAGGGGCCCTGACTTTACTCCTGAACTCTCTACATCCCCTCTTAATCCTCTTAAATCATGTGTTGATGTCTTTCCAAACTCCTCCTATATTAACTTATAACTGTACATTAGTTGCTATACGTTCATATCCTGTTGTTTTTTTCCCATCTATTTACCTGCATGTTTCCACAAACTGCAAAATCATCACAAGCATATTTTATTAAAAATACAGATACAGGCACATTGATGTAGTGATGCCACTGAATACAAGAGGGAGATCAACGCAGTTTGTGCATTACAGCATATTTTACAAAAACTACTCTCTTGTGCCAATCTTGGATTTTCTCCAATTATTATACAAATAAGAATCCTTTTAAAGGCACGTGACAGACATGCTGGGGTTAAAGGTTATGACAAGTAAGTAAAGCAAACCTCATCTGTTATTCATGAGGTTCAACACTATATTTCCTTTCCTCCCTGCTTCCTGCCCATCTGCTCATCTTTCCATCTCAGAGGCAAAAAGCCTTTCAAGTGAACACCCACAAAAACCATCAACGACCACAACGATAAAGCACTTAGCTGCGGAACAACCCATCTTTGTTTTCACAAAATGTGACAAATCCAATGGAGCCACACTCTATCCTGCTAACAAATGAAATCAGAGCTTTGGCCTGGTTCGTTCTGGGGCGGTTTGCTTATGGAAAAAGTCCTCCCACGCTGTTGTTGTTTGTTTACCCTGCCTTTCCTGAGCTGGAACCTGCTCAAAAGTGTAACATTATTTTATTTCTGCTTATCATCTAGCAAATTATCTCATGGAGTCATGATCATTAAAGACGTGTAGCATCCTTTATGTGCTTATAAAATCCCTCCATTTAAGTGCTTCACCCCGCTTGTACCTGTACTCAGATATTGAATTATTAGTGGGTAATGGAAACCACGCAGAGTGCTGCGGGACATCCTTTTCCCACATAACCACCGTTTAATCACAGACAAACATTGGGCACTGTGCCACAGCATATATCAACGTCTATACGTGAGTGAGTGGAAACAGATAGGCCATGGAAAGACAGAAAGAAAGAAAGAAAATAAGAAAGAAAGAAAGAGAGTAGGGGGGATATAACCACTCACAGTACAACTAGGGTAAAGCACTTGTGTGTCTATGCCTTGGATCCACCGAAGTAAATACAAATCCAAGAGGGAAAGCCATATTTTCAGGAAGCCTGAGCAAACATCAGGATCAACATTATAATGGATCTTAATTGAAGGAAGCAATAAAAAGCTAAAATGATGAAGAGATTGACCTTGAATTGCAGTGCTAAGTACTAAGTTTAACATTGATCATCAAACCTGACTGCTGCAGAGTTAAGTGTGTGTGTAGTTGAGCTCATTTCACACACAACCACATAGTTTTACGCGGTCTGACCAGAGGAAACATCACCTCCTCCCTCCTCATCACTTCCAGTTTTCATTGTTGTCCAGTGTCCTCATTATTTTTCATCAACTCTGTCGCTCTCTTTTTCTCTCTTGGATTTTCTCATCCTCTGTTTGTCACTCTTGTTTTCTTTCCGCCTTACTGTTTCTGTTTTTTTTTTTGTTTTTAAAAATCCCTTTTCCCACCATCCGGTCCTGATTCTTTGCTTCGTCTCTCCAGTGATGTCGTCTCTTCTGAAGGCGGAGATGCAGAGAGTTTTGTTCCGACCTGCAAAACAGAGACTGGTGGAGTTTATCGAGATTGAAGAGCCATCGCCTGGAAGACATTTCCTCTGTGTCTCAGGTAAACAGCCTTCTTGTTGATCAGGTAGTCACTTCAAAACATTTTTGTTCATTTGATACAGCAGCTTTTAAGGGTTAAGTATGTTCACCTATTCAAGATCATTTCTATTCTGTTGTATTTAAAAACATTAAAACATTTGGAAGCTTTACAGTAGAATTTTCTTTCATAGGTAATAGAGAATATTATTAATGATTGCAGAGAATCTTTAGAAGAAAATGGCTGAACATGTCTTTGAACTGTTGTATGAAAACGGGCTGTGTAAAGTCTATGAGGCCTGAAATGAGTCATGATTCTTCTGCAGTAGATGAAATGCCCTGAGCTGCACTGGACTCTTTTGGCTTCTGTTTACACTTTTGTTATTTCTCATTTTCTGTAGTTTCAAAAACCAAAGTGGTGCAGTTAAGTATAGTGGGATGTCAGGCATCTAAGATGTCCCTAAAGGCTGGATCCAAGAGGTCCCATACCAAACGCTCCAGTATACAGGAGTGCTACAGGAGGACAGAGATCTGGTCCCTGCAAGACCTGACTCTTGTTGATGGACGGGACCCTGATGTGGTAATTAACCAAATTTAATTGCAATTTCCATAGCTTATTATTGCATGATTTCCAACAGTTTTGTATAGAAAGGATGTCTGGCACATAGACTATAGTTATTAAAATAATTATTAAAATTGTCTCTTAATCACACTTTTACTCTTATAGTAATAGCCTTGAAACAATGTAATTTATCTCAAACTATAATTTTACATTCTAATTCATAATTTTTCAGTGCTACGTGTTACTCTTGTGGTGTTTCATGTTGAGCAAAGGAATAACAACTGTCTCTCATTGGGATCCTAAATATAAAAAACAAATTAAATAGAATTGCTTAAGGAAATAAAGAAAGTTACAACACGAATATACTTATACCCATTTTTCTGTTCTTGTGCACAACCACCTCAGTTATCTGTTTTACAGTTTTCAGTCGCTTTGGTACATTTCTCAAATCATCCCTAACATCTGCAAAACAGTGAGTGCATTTCTTGAAACAAACAGCACACGTAGAAACACAGTGGATTACCTGCAAAAGCCTGTAAATTGTTCAGAATCCTTAGTCTATCTCTCAAAAGCAAATCTTTATGTCATTGAACATGTCAGTGCCATCAGAATGACAAGTCCTTGTGTCATTGTTTACGAACAAGATAGTCAAAATGTGTAATCAATATACAGTCCTCTCCAAAAGTTTTGGAACTGTAAGGCAAAGTCCTTTGTTTTTGTTGTTCACTGAAGACATTTGGGTTTAAGATCAAAAGATGAGTATGAGACAAGAGTTCAGAATTTCAGCTTTTATTTCCTGGCATGCACATCTAGATGTGTTAAACAACTTAGGACATATCACCGTTTGTACTAGACCACAGCATTCTTAGGTGAGCAAAAGTAATGGAACAAATAATCTTAAAGTAAATAACATTTAATATTTGGTGGCATAACCCTTGCTTGCAATAACTGCCTCAAGCCTGCGACCCATCGACATCAGCAAACTGTCGCATTCTTCCCTTTGTGATGCTATTCCAGGCTTTTACCACAGCTTCTTTCAGCTCTTGTTTGTTTCGGGGGTGTTTCTCCCTTCAGTCTCCTTAAGGAGGTGAAATGCATGCTCTATTGGGTTAAGGTCAGGTGATTGACTTGGCCAGTCTAAAACCTTGCATTTTTTTCAGTGTGCTTTGGGTCATTGTCCTGCTGCATGATAAACTTCCTTCCGATTAGTTTCAATGCATTTTTCCATAAATTAGCAGACAAAATGTTTCTGTCCACTTCTGACTTCATTCTGCTGCCGCCATCATCAGTTACATCATCAATAAATATTAATGAGCCTGTTCCAGAAGCAACCATGCACGCCCAAGCCATGACATTACCTCCACCATGCTTCACAGATGAGCTTGTATGCTTCGGATCATAAGCAGTTCCTTTCTTTCTCTGCACTTTGGCTTTTCCATCACTGTGGTAGAGATTAATCTTGGTCTCATCAGTCCATAAGATTTTGTTCCAGAACTTTTGCGGCTCATCTCTGTACTTCTTTGCAAATTTCAATCTGGCCTTCCGATTCTTCCTGCTGATGAGTGGTTTGCATCTTGTGGTGTGGCCTCTATATTTCTGCTCTGAGGCTTCTTCGAACAGCGGATTGTGATACCTTCACCCCTGCACTGTGGAGGTCATTGGTGATGTCACTTACTGATGTTTTGGGGGGTTTCTTCACAGCTCTCACGACATTTCTGTCATCAACTACTGTTGTTTTCCTTGGTCGACCTGTTCGACGTCTGTTGCTTAGTGCACCAGTAGTTTCTTTTTCAGGACATTCCAAATTGTTGTGCTTGCTTTGCCCAATGTTTGTCCAATGACTCTGGTCGATTTTCCCACTTGAAAAATGGGTGGGTTCAAACAAAGGGTGATATGTCCTGAGTTGTTTAACACATCTAGATGTGAATACCAGGAAATGAGAGCTGAAATTCTGAACTCTTGTCTCATACTCATCTTTTGATCTTAAACCCAAATGTCTTCAGTGAACAACAAAAACAAAGGAATTTTCCTTACCGTTCCAAAACTTTTGATGACAATGACTGAAAATGCACAAGGCTGCACTTCAATATGTCATATCAATGTCAACAGTATAAATTTATACATTGCAAGAGATTGGACAGGGTACAGTTACGTTTTTACTGTAATTTGCTGACAGACCATGTCATTGTGATGCAAAAAAGAAAGGACTGTTTTACAGCACTGTATAGCACAACGGAAGAAATTACAAAATTAGAAATGCAAGCATGTGAAACACTCCAGGCTGATGTTCCTGTCTGTCAGGTCACAGATTCTTATCCATATAACAATGGATATCTTCATCAATAATAAAGTAAGGAGACATTTGCAAAAAAAGTCTAATAGATATGTATAGGAAATACGCTTTCTCTCGACTTATGCAATGAAGTTATGCTTAGATGTTTTGGGGGGTAAAAGTATAATTCATTGTGATCAGCATGACATAGCCAATTGATAATGTAGAAAATAGCAGACAATAGTACTTAATCATTTGCTTCAATGTGTCAAAGCATTTGAAGTATGTTCAAAACAATGAGAAATTGCTTTTATGATGTGCACAAGTGACGAGATGATGTGGAGGTTGAACAAGTGGTTTTGAGAATTTCAATTCTGATCTGAGAAATGTACTAAAGCGAGCGAGAAAAACTAATGTAGAAATCTGAGTTTGACAAAGGAATCTTAACTCAAGGTACATTTAGCTTCAGATACAGATTTATCTGAAGCTTTCAACCATTTCATCAGTCAAACAATAGAGAATTACCTCAGCAAGCTATTCTTAGGATGTAAACAAGTTGGAGTAGATACTTCAAATGTGCTTAAGATATTAATGCATGCTTTTATCAACAACACTATTTCATACGTATAGCTTTCATCTCCCAGCAGTTTGCTTTTCATACATCCGGCATCTCTGATTACTTCTTCAAATTTAGAATGAATTTTATTGAGAGGCCATTGTGTTGAATCACTGTATCTTTGTAACTTTGAAAAGGGTTACACAAAAGATTTTTACAATAAGTAACATTATCTCATTCTGTGTGTATGTGGCTCTAGGATGACCCTTGTTTCTTGCTGCACTTTGACAAGGTGCGTACAGTGACAGCCATCAGCTGCTCAGCCAAATACTCTATCGTGCGTGCCATGGTGGCTCTCAGCGACCAGCACTGTCAGAGGCCACTGAACCTGCTGAACTTTGACTGGGCCTACATCAAGCCTACCGCCTTTTACTCTAATAGAGGAGACTGTGTTGTTCTATCACAGATATGCTTCTACGCATTCAATTTGGTGTGTCTGTCCATGTGTCCCGTGCCCCTGGATGCTTAATGGGATGACAATGATTGTGTGTCAATAAAGGCATGGGGCAGCTTTATTATATATTGTGTATAGGCATGGAGTGAATGTAGACTTGTGGCTTCCATTACAACAACACACCAACTATGATGAGTTATCCACTATGAAATGTCTTTTTGCATTAATACTCTAAAACATATCAAATAGCATTGTATATTACACTTTACTTTTAAGTAGCCTATTCTGTGTGCTACTGTAAAAATGTGAATTTCTAATAGAGAACAAATAAAACAACTACACATTTCTTGCCTTTGTCTGCCTTTAGCCTTGTTAAAAGTAGAATAAATTAGGAATTCACTATACAATATTTTACATAGATAACTATCATCTGTCCCAAAGCAGTGACAGAAATTCTCCTTTGACAAGGCTCAAACACACAAAACAGCAGCTGTACAATGTCTAATTTATGTTGTTCAGAGTAGGCTAATTATTGCAGGGAATGAAAGATTTCTTGTAAATGTTTTTCACGGCTGCTTTATATCGTCTGCCTGAAGCTAGAGTTTGTCTGTGGTGTTAAATATAATTAGAAAAACCCAAGTTATTATTTTAAAATAGTTTTAGTAGGTCTACTTTTAAGTAATGTTTTAGTTTCTGCTGCATCCATTGACTGAATGAAATTTTCCTGTGCATAAGGATTTGTCATAGACCTTCTACCTCCATGCAGAAAAAAATTCAGTGGGATTAAGGAAGGGCGAGTATGGTGGGAGGCACACATTTATAAAACGTAGGTTATTTTCAAACCACTCAAATTCTAGGACCACGGTGAAAGTTCACATTGTCCCAGATTACCACATACATGGGATGCTCTGCCTGCTCATCACCTCTGTTCACGTCTCAGTAGTGCTTCCTGTAGAGCATGCAGAAACATAAGATGGGCAGTATTGTAAGGCCCTAAAGTCACATGGCGGTGAATAACCCCGTAGATGCTGATGGCAGCACATATGGTCACGTTGCCACCACGCTGCCCTGGCAACTCTACAATGGCATGTTGACCAATAATGTTGCGGCCTCTCCTCCGCTTGGTGAGATTGAAGCCAGCTTCATCCAAGAAGATGCACTCATGAGGCCTCTCCATGGAACCCAGTTGAAACATACAATGAACAAAATTCATTTTTGAAGTAACGTAAATGACATAGCATTCCAGGCTTTATGACTCTATACATGGGCTGCATTACCTTCAACACAGTAAAGATGTACAGTAACTCAATAGTGCTGTATAATTTCTGGACATGATTACTTACTTGTACATAGATATCGTAGCTCTTTTGCCTTTCAGAATTTCTCTCAAATGGTATTCTGTAGGCTTGTTTGAGACTTATCAGGTTGCGTTTCAGGGACACGGTCAGTTGTGGAGAGACTCACACTGTTGATTCCTTCAAAGTTCACGTTGTCTTCCTCAACTCACTGTTGTATTTCATGCAGACGAATGAGATTATTTTGAAGGACCATATTGACAATAATGGTCTGCTGTTGTGAGAACATACCTCTCCTTCCACTGACATGTGGCAGTCTTTCAATTCTAGCAAATAAAACCTCTTGTTAGAATTGTACAGACAGGCCTAATGCATTGAAATGTCACCAAATATGTACAATACATAAAATACTGTTACTTTTACTGTTATACTACTATTCGTTTTAGTTTTACTGTAATACTGCAAGAAAAGGGCCAATTTTTAGACATGTTACAGTAATTTACTGAGACGTTCCACAGCTGTCTATACTCTGCTGTAAGTTTGAGGGACCACAAATGATAGTACACTTACCTGTTCTCTTCTCTGAATGTCCTGACAATGGAGGCCACAGAGAACCTGCTTATGTTTGGCTGAACACGTAGTCCTGCTTCCCTCATACTCATTCCATGAACCAGAACATGGTGTATGATTGTTGCTCTAATTTCATTGGAAATTATTGCTCTTGTTGCCTGCTCTCCTGCTCTCCTGCTCTCCATTGTGAAACTCACACTGCTCTCCTGCTCTCCTGCTCTCCTGCTCTCCTGCTCTCCTGCTCTCCTGCTCTCCTGCTCTCCTGCTCTCCTGCTCTCCTGCTCTCCTGCTCTCCTGCTCTCCTGCTCTCCTGCTCTCCTGCTCTCCTGCTCTCCTGCTCTCCTGCTCTCCTGCTCTCCTGCTCTCCTGCTCTCCTGCTCTCCTGCTCTCCTGCTCTCCTGCTCTCCATTGTGAAACTCACACATGCCATCTGGATTTGACATGGCTTTATATCCTTATTACTGATTAGGTGCAACACATTACTGATTTGAAACAGGTGTGTTCAATTTTGAGTGCTTGTGTGTTACCGATGACAACAGTGTGTTGCTTGTGTTTCACTTTTGGGGGCTGTGTTGTGCCATTCTGAGTTGAAGTGCACCAAAATGCTACATGTGCATTGTGAATGCGTTTACAGTTTTGCACAAAGAGTGATTCCGATTTGCTAGTTGTGTCTAACCACATGAGAAGTATTTAAAGTTCTGCAAATTGTGTGATTCAATCAATAAAGTGGTTTGTACACTTGCAACTTCGGTTTTGCAAATGGATTTTAGTGTTTTAGCAATTCAGAAATACTGTATTACAGTTTTTTTCTATTTGTAACCTGCGTTGGTCAAAACTGAAGTCACATTGTCAAAACTCTTCACACAGTCAGCGCAACAGACGTGTATGTGGACCAAACTGTGAATCATTTTTCATTGCTTTCACATAAAATGCATTCAATGACCCCTTTCTCCAAAATTTATGAACTCTTTTCTCATTACTACTTCACCACCTCCAAAACACTGTATCTGCAGTACTTTTTTCCAAATGCTAACACACTGTGTCCAAAACTGTTAAAAAGACATTCACAACAGATTGATGGTAAATGTACTGCATTTCTGCAGTGACCAGATTGAAATAAGTAGAAAATCTCAGAAGGCAGACAATATCACTTTTGGAAATGTGAATTCGGTCAGCACACTGACAATTGCCAGAGTCCTGGAGAAACATAAAATAAGGACAAAGCAGTTGTATACTATACCATTCAAGAGAAACTGTGAACGTGTGAAAGAACTGTTATCAATATGTCCAGGTAAGATGTCTGTTCAATAATTAATCAGGGAACATACACAGTGATGCATAATGTGAAGTCCTGGGTATTTACTGTATTTTAGACAGTAATGGAGCTGGAAGCCTGGAAAACTGCACATACATTCATCTTTGTAGATGAAGCTGGATTCAACCTGGCAAAAACATGCCGCAGGGGAAGACATGTGATTGGACAGACAGCAACCATGGATGTCCCAGGGCAAAGAGGAGCTAACATCACGATGTGTGCAGCACTGTCCAATGATGGTTTGCTGTTATACAAACCACTCATTGGCCCCGACAGTACGGAGAGGCTCAAGTCTTTCCTGGATGACCTGCATAATCGCCTTGTGCCAGCGGAGGAGAGAGGAGCAAGAAACTCCCCTATCTTTGTTGTGACCACCATCCACATGACCAGATGACCTTACTGGATGCCATGAATGCGGGATGTGGAGACACTTCTCCTGAAGACTGCCAGGGTTGGATTAGATATTCCAGAAGATACTTTCCAAGATGCATCGCCAGGAAAGACGTAAGATGTGATGTTGATGAGAACTTGCAAATGCAGCAGAGAGGGAGGACTAGCACCCTCAAGTACTGTACATTATGAGTTTTTGAGGTGTTTCTTATTTGTATTACTGTTTGCAGCCCTGGAATTCCAGAAATTTGTGTGTGTGTGTGTGTGTGTGTGGTGTGTGGGTGTGGGGGGGGTTGTTTCAACTTACAGTAAAATATTTCACAGTTTACAATACTATCCACAGATATAGAACAAATAAAGGATATTGAAGCAAATTGCTGCATTTCTGATGTGAAAATATGTTATTGTTATTGTATAATGAAAACCTAATTTGTTCGCTCATGCTTCAAAGATAAAAGTTCTTCATTTATGTAATGCTCCCTGTTTTTAGTGTTTTGTAGGTCAGTGTGTTATGAGTGAGACTGTATGCTTTCTAAATGAGAATTGTTGCCAGTGTTTTGGTTGAACGACTCTATTTTGAGACTTGTACGAAGTGTTTTGGTGGTTTGAGTGAGTATTGGGGGTCAGATTAACTGTTTGGCCAAGATGCATGTTGGTAATGCAGACTGTGTGAAGAGTTTTGCACCCCTCTCTCTGTCTCTGAATCAGTTTCCTTCACATGTGGCTCTGTTTTTTACCTACAGGTGGCACCAAAACAAGTCGGGAGTATTAGTAGCCTTAAAATGTGCCTGAAAAAATACACATTCATACTAATGTATCTGAAACGGTGTTCTTTGAATTTTATCTTTGTTTTTAGATCAGTCATATTTATTTCTTGATAAATATATTCAATGTGTGCACACATCGTGTTAAGACACTTTAAGCCGCCCCATCCCGTCCCAGGCACAGAGCGGACGGACCAGTGGCTCCATACCTGCCGCCAAAATTCAAGTTAGAGGGGAGACGGGCGAGTTGTCGGTTGTAAATACTGGGCTGTAAGCCAGGGCTTCACCTTTTTTAAGTCACCGAGTAGGTAACGTTATTCAAACACCACGAATCTTGCCTCCGGAGTCTGCGGAGAGAGGACAGCCTGAAGATGCACATCAAGTCTATTATTGTTGAAGGATTCAAATCCTACGCGCAGAGGACGGAGATCAACGGCTTTGACCCGCTGTTCAACGCCATCACAGGACTGAACGGCAGCGGCAAGTCCAATATTTTGGACTCGATATGTTTCCTTTTGGGCATTTCCAATCTCACACATGTAAGTACTTTATTGGTTATGATGTCATTACGCTCCATAATAAAAATTACGTAGGTATTTGCCTTAATTACTGTGTAGAGTTAAGCATCGTGGTAAGTTGGTAATAGTTTCAATCGTAACGTTACTACTACTAGCAAAGCAGAGATAGCGAGGAGCATCTTAACACTAACGTTAGCTAACACTCAACAAAACTAGTTGGAACTTCTATGTTTTTGTTTCATTTTCACTTGAAAGGTGCGGGCCTCCAATCTTCAGGACCTGGTTTACAAAAATGGACAAGGTGGTATCACTAAGGCCACTGTGTCTATTACCTTTGACAACTCCAACAAAAGCCAGAGTCCTCTGGGTTTTGAAACTCATGATGAGATCACCGTCACCAGACAGGTTGGCAAAGAATTAAGAGCTCACGGGGGCTCCGTGGTTTTTGTTATTGTGTTTGAATGTTATTGTGTTGTACATGACTCCTTCTTTCTTTAAGGTTGTAATTGGTGGCAGGAACAAGTACCTCATCAATGGAGTCAATGCCAACAACACCAGGGTGCAAGACTTGTTTTGCTCTGTTGGCCTCAACGTCAACAACCCACATTTTCTCATCATGCAGGTTGGTGTCCTGTTTGCAGCAGTATGCATGCTTGTGGTTTTAGCCCTGTACAGTTTTTTATAATGTGATGTTTCCAATATTTCAGGGGAGGATCACCAAAGTTCTAAACATGAAGCCACCAGAGGTAAAACATACATCCGTCGTCCACTATTTCACCATCAGTACTTTTTCATACACATTTTCCTCTATTTTCATTGGTCTTCCAATGATCACATCTTTTCTTTCAGATCCTTGCCATGATTGAGGAGGCTGCAGGAACCAGGATGTATGAATGTAAAAAGATTAGCGCTCAGAAAACCATTGAGAAGAAGGAGGCCAAGCTGAAGGAGATTCAGACAGTATGTTAGACATCCAAACTCATTTTTGACTAATGCATCTCCTACAGTGGAGAGAAATACAATTGCAGCTAATGTTGAAATATTTAACCATTTCTCTTCGTTGACTCTTTCAGATTTTGGATGAGGAAATTACTCCAACCATGCAGAAATTGCAAGAGGTAAGTTCACTGTATTGTTAATAATAATAATTATAATAATAATTGAATAAATAATAATTAATATCCCATTTTTGCTAAACTTTCCTCCCTCTGCAGGAACGATCATCATACTTGGAGTACCAAAAGCTGATGCGTGAGATCCAGCACTTGTCACGGCTGTACGTGGCCTGGCTGTTTGTGTGTGCAGAGGAAACGAAGCTGAAGTCGGCAGACAATCTGAAGGTGATGCAGGATAACATTGCCAAGATGCAAGCCAGCATTGGTGAGAATGAGAGCAAAGTCCAGGAGCTCTCAGCCCAGATTCAGGAGCTGCAGAAGAAAAAAGACCAGGTACACTGGAAGATAAAATTGGGGAGCTTTTTATACTTTAATAGAGACCCTTATGCTAATATTTTGAGAGCTCTTATGTACTATTTACCATTTTTTTGTTTGTTAACCTTAAACACTTTCTCAGGAAATGTCATCTGCTGCTATTTGAGAATGTTTGGATGATCTGTTTTCCTCATTCTTGGAACTTTTGTTGAAACTTGGAATATTTGCAAGGTTTTTTTGTTTGTTTTTTGTTGAATATTTGTCTGTTTGACCCTCTTGCATCAAAAGACATTTTGAAAGAATTGTGTTTTTTTTTTTTTTTTTTCATTTTATTTTTTAATCAAACTACAAGTAAAGGGAATCTTAAGTCTTATTGCTTTGACAATGTTTACCTGCTCGCCTGTAGGAAGTGAATGGAGTATTAAAATCCCTGGAGGAGGCTCTAGCTGATGTGCAACGTGTGGACGCCAAAGCTCAGAGTGCTCTTGACTTAAAAAAACAGAATCTCAAAGATGAAACCAAGAAGAGGAAGGAGCTTGTAAAGAGTATGGAGGAGGTAACAGGACAGTCCATTTTGCTAATATCTGCCTGTATAATCACATCTCAGAAACTTTTAGCAAATTAAATCTACACACAGTGAGGGTAATTTGCACAACTGAATTCCTGATTACTTGAACTGTTATTTTCCTTAATCCTTAGGACAAGAAAATGCTTGTGGTAAAAGAAAAGGAGGTTTCTAAGTCGACAGAGCAGCTTCAGGCTCTGCAGGAGGAGGGACAGAAGGACAGCGC